ATCTCACGATCCTGAGATCATGACCTGAGCTGAAGTCAAGAGTCAGATGCTTAACTGACTGAGCCATCCAGGCACTCCCCCCTTTATATTTTAAGTAGACTCCATGCCCCATGTGGACTTGAACTCATGACCCTGAGATCAAGACCTCAACTAGAATTAACAGATGCGGGATCCCTGGGTGGCGCAGCGGTTTGGCGCCTGCCTTTGGCCCAGGGCGCGATCCTGGAGACCCGGGATCGAATCCCACGTCGGGCTCCCGGTGCATGGAGCCTGCTTCTCCCTCTGCCTGTGTCTCTGCCTCTCTCTCTCTCTCCGTATGACTATCGTAAATAAAAAAAAAAAAAAAAAAAAGAATTAACAGATGCTTAACTAACTAAGCCACCCAGGAATCCCAGAAAAGGCCATTTCTGATCTGGCCTTCTAATTCCTGGCTCATCTCATCTTCTACCATTCTTCTGGTTCACTTTAGAAACACTGGGCTTCTCTCTGTTTTCTAATGTGCCAGACACACTCCTTGAAGCTTTTATATTTGCTGTTCTTTATGCCTAGAATGCTATTCTCTTAGGGATCCAGTTGACCTACTCCCTCACTACATTCATCTATTTCCTCAGACATCATCTTATCATAAAGGCCTTTCTGACCCTTTAGTCTGTGTAAAACAGCACTTAATTCCATCATTCTCTGTTCCCAAGCCCTGGTTAACTTTAACTCCAGCACTTACAGTATTTGACATATATATTCACTTGTTTTACTTTTTTGACACCCACCCAGAGAGCTAGTGTTTTGTCTGGTTTTGTTTGTTTGTTTTTTCACTCATAGGTTCCCAGTGCTTGACAGCATCAGCATCAGTGCTTGCCTCACTTTATAGTGCTAGTATTATAACTTTCATACCAAAACCAAAGACAGTACAAAAAAGAACTACAGACCAGTGGCTCTCATAAACATATATGTAAAAACTCTCCACAAGATATTAGAAGATCAGATCTTAAGGACATTTTGAAGAGGATATCTAGGCACTTGCCAAGGACTTAGTAGTAGCAGGTATTTCTGTGTTTGTTGGTCCAGTGTAACTTCAGGACTTTGGCTTTCCTTTTCTTGAGTAGATGTTACAATAGTAGTTTCTAAATTTACTAATCATGTTTAGGGTTGTTTTTTGCTTCAAGCATAAAACAAAGAGAATAGACAGTGAGATTTTCCTATAGTAAATGACCAGGAATTAGATGACAGCAAGATGAATAAGAAGATTAAGGAAAATATATGTATTTGTGAAAAAGATCGCCTGATATGGAATTAACTGTCAGAAGGTAAGACAGAAATTATTTATATGTATGTTCATTGCCCTCTTTTCTGTCTACCATCCCAATGGATGAAGGGAAAGAGTGTAAAAGAAATATATATTTTTAAAAATCAAATAATTATGTTTATCAGTAGCCAAATGTTAAACCTGCGTTGACAGGTTTGTTGTTCTCCAAAGCAAAGAATGAAAATGCATAATCTTGGAGTGGAATTGTTCTGTCCACATAAATAGCTGTTGTTACAAACTGTTTATAAATCAGGTACTATAACTCAAAATACTTATCCAAACAATTATTTTATTTTTTTTAAGATTTTATTTATTTATTCATGAGAGACCCAGAGAGAGAGAGCAAGAGAGGCACAAACACAGGCAGAGGGAGAAGCAGGCTCCATGCAGGGAGCCCGACATGGGACTCGATCCCGGGTCTCCAGGATCACACCCTAGGCCAAAGGTGGCGCTAAACCGCTGGGCCATCCGGGCTGCCCCCGAACAATTATTTTAAACTGTATTTCTGAAACTTGCCTGATTTAGGAATCCCTTGAAGATTCTGATTCAGGAAGCACAGAGTAAGCCTAGGAATCTCTAGTTAATAGGTGATTTTATGATTAGTTAAGAATGGGAGACAGTGCTTTAAGATATCCAATTTAGAATTTTAATGGGATAAAACTACAAGTGTAATATATAGGCCTTTACATAGTAGTATGATACTAATAAAAAAGTACCTTTTAGCTGTCCTACAGAGTTTGTTTTCATGTTATTTATAAAATAAGCAACAACATCTTCCTAAGAAATAGGACTGGTTCCAATGTCAGCCATCTCAGACACAGAACTACCATCCTTCTTGCTCCCTATGAATTATGAATCTATCACTTTTCTGTCTGAAGACTGTCATTCTTTTTCCCTAGGAGTAAATCAGCCTGAGTTCCCTAAGACAGACACACACACACACACACACACTCTCTCTCTCTCTCTCTCTCTCTCTCTTTCTCTCTCTCTCGCTCTTAAAAGAGCCTAAGATAATAAGCTTCTGGTCTCAGTGATTTCATAGCTATCTCTGCCTATGCTTTGGTACACATTCAGTCCCTGGTGGATCTTTTCCTTCTTATATAAGGATATATTCACCAGCCAGGTTTTTCAGTACATCTCTAGTAACCTTAGCCACAATTATTCATAGAATGATGGAAAAGGATATTCCACTTTTAATGTGATTCTCCTGGTTACTAACAACTTACTCAGTCTCCATTGTTCAAATTTTCAAGACACCAGATGTGATTAGCTCATCCCATTTTTTTAGGTCAGTTGTCTACCTCAGTGCCTTCAGCAAGTAAAATATGACATGACACAAACTAGCTCTTGCTGGATAGAGGTCAGATCTCTTAGGATGGCTATGAAGAGGCTGCCAGAGGTTAGTCCTTTAGGGAAAAAAATTGTCATTACACAAATAGAAAGTCCACAGAGAAAATTGGTTCTTAAGATATTGGTACCTTGGAGCATATTAAATTTAAGGTGCTAGCAAGACATCCAGTTGGAAATAACAGGTACTTAGTCAATACTGCAGATATGGGGTTCTGTATTTCTCAGCTAGTCTCATCCTTACATTGCATTAAGTATGAAGAATGAAACTTTTTTTTGAGAAAATAAACTCCTCAAAACCCATTTATACATGAACAGCAGAGCTGGAACCTATAGCCCTGAGGCATGGATTTTATGCTGTATCTCAAAAGGAAATGGTAGACTGTCATCACCTAATCAGAAGAATAAAGTGAACCCCAATTTAGATCATTTTCAAGAAGCTAATATAAGCCATCAAAGAATAATTATATCTGTGGTAAATAACCATATTTAGCTTATCCGCTTTTCAGGATTACAAAAATAGTAAGTCTGTTCCATGGTATAGTTTCAATTCAAAGAAGATTCTCCTCACTTCAGATTAAAGCTTAAGACACTGGTGAAACAGATATATGAAGAATATATTCAAAATTGGAGTTTATTCACTAAGTTAAGTTTATCAAAGAAGGCACAGTCCCAAATGTATGAGTTATTAATGACCTATTCTTGTGAACTCTAGCTTCCAGCTACAGCTGTAGAAAACTGTTGCTCAGTCTCACCAAGACCCCACCTTTTCTGGCAGAAATCTCACATAGCCTCTGCTGGAACCACAGTTGTGGAGTGCAACTCAGCTAAATTTCCCCAGGAAGTAGTGGTTTGTTATTAGTATTAATTCAGCCATATTACTGGTTTTTAAAGGTCAGTTTAAGAATTTAGACACCATTAAGAAGTTAGACATCATTTGTGAAGTTAACTCCTGTGAGAAAAATCTGTTCTAAATCCCAGACTTATTTGGAGCATTTTTCAGCACAGCTCAGATACGACTTTTGTATACATTTAAAAGTGAGTAGGCTGAAATCAAAAGAGTAGCATATAAACAAAGTTAGGGAATTCTATACTCTTCCTTTGTAATTCAGGGCTTTCTGGTAAAGTGAAGAATAGGCTAGAATCTATCTAGCCCACCTGTTAGAGATTAACATGTGTAAATCACCTTTAATGCCAAAATGGAAAAGGCTCAGGTGAAGGCAAGAGATATAAGGAGAAACCGCTTTCTGGTGTCCAGGAGTGGACAAAGTAAACCTCTAGACCTAGGTGGACAGGCTTTATACTGCAACTTGCCGGATTATCTCCATTGAGCCCATTCTACTGGCAGACAATTAAGAAATATATGTTAAGAATGAGATCTTGGGTTTTTATAGCAACATGGATGGATCTAGAGGGTATAATGCTAACCAAAATAAGTCAGAGAAAGATACCATATGATTTTACTCATATGCGGAATTTAAGAAACTAAACAAATGAACAAAGAAACAAACCGGAAACCATAAACTGGTGGCTACCAGAGGGGAGGTGAGTGGCAGGGGGGAGGTGTGAAATAGGTGAAGGGGGATTGAGTACACTTACAATGAGCACTGAATAATGAATAGAATTGTTAAATCACTATTGTATTCCTAAAACATATTAATATAGATAGTTAATGTATGTTAACTAACTGAAATTAAAATAAAAACTGAAAAAGCCCCCCTTCCCACCAAAGACTACTGTGCAGAATGAAGTTCATTGGCAACAATACCATTTTAGGTGGTATTCCTATAATAAACTGAAATTCCCATAACTAACCAGTATTTCATTTTAATGTAACTTTTCTTGGTTAAATAACTCAAACAGGTTTGTAATGAACCAATTGGAAAATACAAATAAAAAGAAGCAAAACTACTTTCAATTTTACCACCCAGACATAAACATTGTATGTTTTTTGACTTTTTTTCTGTATACATATGTACTTACATATTAAACATCCCTTTTCCACTTAATATATATATAATGAACATATTTTCATATCAAAACATTTTAACGTATTATTTATAACTGCACCATAAGTTATTTAATCATTCTTTCATTGTTAACACTGTAGAAAACATTTCTCTCTGTGCAGATCTCCTTCAGAAAAAAGATTTTTGAAGTGAAATTATGAGTTCAAAGATTTTATATATTTTTAAGGCTTCTGCGTTTTAGAAAGTTTATATTCCCACCAAAGTATTAAGACTGTCTAATTCCTCATCTCTAACATTTCTTGTAGTTTTCCTCTCTTTTTCCCCATATATAAGATGCAAAAAGTAACTTGGTGACTAAGTTTTATCATTTTGTTTCTCAGGAGATGATTTTTCTTTGATTCAACAAGAAATATTTATGGTTAAAGAATGTAAACATTGTAACATCGTTGCCTACTTTGGGAGCTATCTCAGGTAAAAAAGAATCTGCTCTTCTTGTATTTTATATTTTTTTACTATCCCTCTCCCTCCCTTTCACATAAACGCTATTATATATAAATTTTTAAAGTTATATTGCCTGAAGTTTTCTCAGGTTTTCTTATTGTCTCCCCTATATATTAATGACACCTCTGTTTATGCAATTATGTCTTATCTGATGATAAATATTACAAATAAATGTTTTAGCTTATAAAACTGATTATAATCTAAACCATTTAAGATGAGTGGTTGCTATGCTTTTCTGTATTTGGAAGAGAGCTTGTCAGTACAATTTCCTGTTATACCCTGTAATCCATTCTAAACCTTGGTGTACTGACAGGGGAAAGCCTTCAGAGTATTTCAGTGATTAAGAATTACTAGCTAATAAAATTTTCTTTTTCTTTCATATTAGTCGAGAAAAACTATGGATTTGTATGGAATACTGTGGTGGCGGATCACTTCAAGATATTTACCATGGTACTGTTAATTTGACTTATATTTTAAAACTAACTTTGATTTTAATGATTGTTGCTTTTATGATTTCTAGTTAACCAGGAATATTGGTATGTAGATACACTGTTTTATATTCTTCCATTCTGTTGCTGTAGTATTATTGCATAAAAGAAATTTAAACTTTATTTTTGTTGGTTATCCACTTAAATTTGCTGAAGCCTGAACTGAGAAATCTAAGAGTTCTTGTACAACCCAAATTTTGCTCTTTAGACGTAGTCTCTAGAATATCTTATGAGCCTCTAAGAAAGTATTTTATCTACAATTGAAACTTCCTTAACTTCTTTGTAAATAAGAATTGAAATACAAAGGCTAAGAACTCTTATGTAAAAGAAATTGTCTATCTTTCTTAAAAATCACTTAACCTAACTAAGGAAATGGTTTAGTTATTGCTATATTTTTATAATCAAAATGTATATTTTTTTTAAAATTTGAAGTATTTTTTTTTGAAAATTCTGCTAGTTTACACCATTTTATGAGTTGAATTAGATTTTACTATTTAGGAAGTCTTCATATTGGCTCTACTAAAAATTAAGCTTCCAATTTTTTTTTGCTTTTGACAGTTTCCCAATTTTATAGTTTATGAGACTAATCAGAGATCCTTATAAAACAATTTTTCTTTTCTTTATTTAACTGAATATGGAATAAACTCCCATTGCAACTCTGCATAGTATAAGAATTATGTGAAATATTTTCAAACATTTATGTGCTGAAGTCTTTATATTGACAGCCTTCTCAAATTTCATTCATGCAGTTTACACATACAACCATAGAAGATGTAAAAATAAGTGGTATTCAAGTTTAAATAATATTTGTAGCTTGTAGAGGCCAGATTTTAAAAATACTGATCAATAGAGCAATGGTTAATTAAACTACACTGTACCTATAATATGGAATATTGTGCAGCATTTAAAAATGAAGTAGCTCCATTTGTATTGACCTGGATATATCTCTCCAAGGCTTCTTTTTAAATGGAAAAAGTAGATTGTGAAAAAATATATATAGCATAATCAATCACACTTAGACTTTTAAAAATATCATTTTTTATATTCACATTATATATGAATGTTAATGCACAGCAAAATGAAAAGATAAGTATCAAATTAAGCCATTACTTCTAGGGGAGGCAAACGTGAGTGGGGCCCTTAGGTAAAATTTTGAATTATAATAAAAATGTATTGCTGTATTATTTAATTATAAATTAAGAAATATAATAATTATCTAATTTTGTCACATAACATCCATGACAAAAAAATAGTTGTGATGGATGTCTAAACTCTGGACACTGCCTCTTTTTATTTAAAATAATATTTAATACCACATAAATATTACAAATATATAAAATATTATAAAGAGTTTTTAAAACAAGAATGAATCCTAAAGGCACATGGGTGGCTCAGTCAGGTAAGTGTCTGCCTTCAGCTCAGGTCATGATCCCAAGGTCTTCGAATCGAGCCCACTTCAAGGTCTCTGCTTGGCAGGGAGCCTGCATCTCCCTTCCCCTCTGCCTGCTGCTCCACCTGCTTGTGCTTGCTCTCTCTCTCATTCTCTGTCAAATAAATAAATAAAATCTTTGGGAAAAAAATAACCCCATTTTTTCAAAGAAAAGTGAGTTTTATTTTCATATACACTAGTCATTTTCTTATGTATTCTATCATACTAGAATTAATGTTCTCTTTTATTTTATCCTGTTGATTTTAAAGAATTATTGGTAGACAACGGCTCTATTCTAATTTAAAATTCTTTTCTATGATTTTATGAAGAATTATCATTTTTATGAAAAGTTTTTATACAGTTATTTTTATTCACGCTTTTACAGACTGAAAACTCAAGAAAATAAATAAATAAAGCTATATATCTGGTATTTTTAAAACTAAGTTAAATTAATTAAAACAACTTGAGAATTGTTTTTAAGACATTAATCTTATTTCTTTATAAAATTTCTACTTTCCGTTATTAAACCTGATATTTGTTGAATTAAACTGAATCTAAGAAGTATCCATCCTTGTATATTATATAATAGATAGCATAGTAATCAAGAATATCTACACTTAAAATTAACTGTTAATAATGTGGCTTCCCTTCTTTTATTAATATTCCATCAAGTTACTAAAAATCAAAATTTTATGTTCCTGTGTAGATATAGACAGCCAGTGATTAAAATATGCAGTAAAATAGTTCTCTTAAGGGAAGATCGTATGTAAGTACTTGATATGGCAAACACCACTTCAGATTTCAAATATTCTCATGGTATTAGAAAGCACTTTTTTTAAAGACGTGGGGGAAAGGCAGAGGGAGAGAGAACCCACAAAGCCCAATGGGGAGTTTGATCTCAGACTGTGAGATCATGACCTAAGCCAAAATCAAGAGTCCCATACTTAACCGACTGAGCCACCTAGGCACCCTTTGAAAGTATATTTTTTAGGTGTCTGGTTATGTACTTACAGAAGGATTTTATATTTCATACTAGAGATCTCGTTGTCAGAAGTGACCTAGGGGCACCTTGGTTTCTCAGTCAGTTAAGCATCTGACTCTTCATTTCTGCTCAGGTCATGATCTCATAGATTATGGGATCAAAGCTGCCCCTCCCCCCACCCAGCAGGGCTCCACACTCAGGGAGTCTGCTTGACATTCTCTCTCCTTTCCTTCTGCCCCCTCCTCTCAAGGATGCCTGCACATACACTTTCTCTCTCTCAACCCCTCTCACTCTCAAATCTTTAAAAACAAAATAAGAAGAGGGGGGTGCCTAGGTGGCTCATTTTGTTGAGTGACCACCTCTTGGTTTCAGTTCAGGTCATGATCTCAGGGTCCTAGGATCAAGCCCTACCCTGGGCTCTGTGCTCAGCATGGAGTCAGCTGGAGATTCTCCCTCTCTCTCTCTTTCCCTCTCCTCCTCTTTTCATGTCCTCCCTCTCCCTAACATAAAAATAAATAAAATCTTTTTTTAAAAAAAAAGGTAGTTACCTGGTTACTTTTTAAATTCTTAGATAAAGGGTTGAATCAAGCTTTGCTGTTTTGAAAAATATAGTAAAGAATTACACTAAAGAAATAATAACTTGACCTTTAATAAAGTATATGTTGTCTTTCAGTGTATTTCAACATTTGGTCTCTTATGGTTCTCTACGCAACTGTAATTAACTATGTAGTTTATCTCCTTTCTTGTATCTGTTTTAGAAAAATTGTTCAGAATTAAGGTCATGTCTAGTATTTTCTATAGAATGTCCTATGATGTCTAGTACTATGCTTTGCACATAATGAATGCTTATATTTCCACTGACCAAAGTTGTTATAGAATAAGTCTTCCATTTTTAAAATATATTTTGATGTTCTCAACTTTACCTTTTTTTTTTGTTTCCTGTTTATAAGAAGAATGTGTGCTCATGGTGAGGTCACCTAGTGTGATATGTATAGAAGTTTTATAATAGCTTGTCATTTTTAAGGTAGACTGTTTTTAATGTGTTATATTGAAATGTATAATAATGTGGTCTGTCTTTTTTCCTAGTTACTGGGCCATTATCAGAATTGCAAATAGCCTATGTATGCAGAGAAACTTTACAGGTAATACATTTGTTTATGTGGATAGAAAGGCAGTTCTAGTTTCACAATTGAAAACTATAAAATGATGATCTGCCCTAAGGAAAAAGAGTAAACCAAATGATTTTTTATTAACCTCTCATATTGTAATTCTATAAGCCTGGAGTTCTTTCTTTCATGAATGAGTCACAAGAATTCATTTAAGCTGATGCTGGTATAAACAGTGGTGATGTCTGGTGTTCCATTTTGTCAGGCTCAGCCCTCAGTTGCTGCAAAGCTAAGGAAAGCCACAGGTGTGAATTGGTTTTTGTGAATGAATCACCAAAACTCTCAAACATAACAAGTTGTATGAGCTTTTCCTTTAGGTTTTATGACAATAGAAGGAATTCTTTTAAATAAGACATGCAGTCTTTTACTGTTTCTCCCAAAATGATAATAAATTAGCAAATCATAACCCAGAATGTTATCTGGAACTTCTAGTTCTGTGTGATTATTAATAAGTATCATTGATAGCAGAACCCCATTTTATAAGTTTGGTCAACATTGCATTAAACCGAAGTTTCTTTACTTCTTTATTTCAGAGCCTGTGAGAGCTTTTAGTATGTTAAACTAAATTGTGACCCTTTGATAAAGATATAGAGTATGTAGCATTTCTCCCAATTTTTTTTTTAGTACCTTGAAAAACTCATTAAGAAAATTAGCAAGGAGGGATTTTGTTCATATCCTTTAAAACATTTAAATTAGGAATTTAGTAGTGATTATGTTTTTTATTTTGGTAATTTACAACTGAAAATTGTTAATTGATACTTCTATCCCTACATTTCCTAGTTGGGTAGTGAAATTGATGTTCTATATGTATTTTTCCATATTTTAGAAACTAGGGGATTCACTTGATTTAAGAGAAAACTCTAGTCATTTCTAAGAGCTGGTTTCCTCATGCTTAGAAGACATACTGTGTCAAGTCTGAATGTTAAATATATGAAAGTAAATTTGTTCAGTATATATGTGAGTGTGTATATGTATATGTGTATATATACACTCACATATATATTTATATTTCTGTAATCTCATAACAGAAATCTACTTTGTGTTCACATAAACTATAAAACACACTCATTGCAGAGAATTGTTGACAGGTTTTTAAAAATTTTAATTTCCAAAGGTCATTGCTTTTTTAAGTGATGGATAGAGTACTAAATAGAAGTAAAAAACAAAACAAAAGCTTGAGTTTGCATTTTGACCCTGGTGTATGACCACAATTTATTTTATGGTTCTAATTCCCCAAGAATAAAATGAACTTTGGTAAGGATGCCCTTCAAGATTAATTTCAGTATTTTAAAATTCTGTTATGCTGACAAATTTCCACCTTTGGTGTCTATTGACAGATGAATGAATAGAGAATGTATAGTGTATATATACAACAGAATATTCAATCGTGAAAAAGAATGAAATCTTGTCATTTGTGGCAACATAATTGAACCTGTAAGATATTATACTAAACGAAATAATCCAGCCACATAAAGACAAATAATTCATAAATAAGTCACTTATATGTAGAACCTAAAATAGTCGAACTTAGAGATGCAGAGAGTGAAATGAATGATGATTATTAGGAGGTTGGGGGCCAGAGGGAAGAAATGGAGAGATGTAAGGCTATAAAGTAGCAGCCATATATATTGATGACTAATGTACAGCATGACAACTATAACATTGTACTGAATACTGGAAATATGTTAAGAGAGTAAATTTCAGGTGCTCTTGTTACAAAAAAACCCCAGTAACTATGAATTGATGATATGTTAACCAGCTTGTTCAATAATCACATCAAATCATCATGCTGTACATCTTTATATGTATTATTTTGTTATGTAAAAATTTTTTTAAATAAAAAGGGCAGAGATTGAATGGAAAAATTGAAGACCCAGCTAGATGCAGCCTGTAAGAAATGTACTTTTATGAAAATACAAATAGATCAAAAGTAAAAGAAAAAGATACACTAACTATTGAAAAAAAGCTAAATGGCCATGTTAATATCAGACAAAGTAGACTTCAGAACTAAGACTACTTCTTTAAGGCCACTTCATCAAAAGACGTAACAGCCCTAAGTGTTTACATATACAGCTTCAAAATGAATGAACAAAAACTGATAGAACTACAGGAAGATAGACACACAGTTATAGTCAGATATACCCCTCTCACAATAATTTTGTGGAGCAAGTAGGGAGAAAATCAGTAAGGATGTAGAAGACTTGAACAATGCAACCAATCAGCTTGACCTAACTGAGATTTTAGTCTAACAACAGTGTGATACATATGCTTTTCAAGTGCCCATAGAGCACTTACCAAGATAGACCTTATTTTGGGCTATCAAATATGTTTAATACATTTTAAGGAATTTAAGTCATACAAAGCATATTCTCTGACAACATTGCATTAAATTAAAAATCAACAGAAATATTTCTGGAATATCTCCAAATATGTGGAAACTAAATAAAGCACTGTTAAGTAACCCATGAGTCAAAGAAGAAGTCAGAAGAGAAACTAAAAAATATTTTGAACCAAATGAAATGAAAACATAATGCATAAAAATTTGAGGTGTTCCTTAAGCAATACTTAGAAGGAAGTTTATAGCACTGAACACTTCTTTAAAAAGGAAAAAAGGTCTGAAATCGTTATCTTCAAATTCTACCTTAAGAAACAAAAATGAAAAAAAATGAAATAATAAAAATCAGAGTGGAAATCAGTGAAATAGAAAGCAGAAAAATATGAGAAAATCAATAAAACCAAAATCTGATCCTTTAAGGAGATCAATAAAATTGATAATCCTCTAAGAGAAAATAAAAAATAACCAATATGTGGAATGAATATAAAGATTTTACCACAGAATCTACAAATATTGAAAGAAACAAGGATGTTCAGTACCCAAGGAATATTATAAATAGCTTTCTGCCAGCTATAACTTTGAATAAATGAACAATTTCTTTGAGGGACACAGACTACCAAAGATCACTCGATCAGAAATCATCTGAATAGTTCTGTATATATTCCCACAAAGAAAACTCCAAATCAGATGATTTGGATAGATAAATTGTGCCAAACATTTAAGGAAGAAATAATGCCAATTCTACATATACTCTTCTAGAAAATTGAAGAGTAAAGAATGAATACTTTCCAAATAATTTTATGGATTAGCATTTCTCCAAAACCAAAATCAAATAATATTGCAAGAGAACAAAACTACAGACTAATATAATAGCCTTCATAGCCACAGATTCAAAACTTGAAACTAAGAGGTTAGAAAAGGTAATCCAACAACATATTTAAAAGGATAATACATCATCAGTAAGTGAGGTTTATCCTAGAATGCAATTTTGATTTGACACTCAAAAATTATTTCAGGTAATTGACCATATTAGCAAACAAAATGAGAAAACCACACGATCATCTTAAATATAGACACAAAAAGCATTTAGCAAAATCCAACATTCATTCCTGATAAAGATTCTGACCATACTGGGAATAGAAAGAAACTTGTTCAGCCTGATAAAGAACACCTATGAAAAACCTACAACTTAGTCATACTTAATGGTAAAAGACTATATGCTTCCCCGCCAAGATCAATCAAACAGTGCAAGAATGTCTGCTCTCATCACTTCTTTTCAACAGCATACTAGATGTTTTAGCCAGTGCAATAAGAAAAAAAATGAAATTAAAGGCATCCAGATTAGAAAGTAAGAAGTAAAACTGTATTCACAGACCACATAATCATATATGTAAAAAATGGAATAGACTATACAAAGTAGCTTCTAGAACTAATGAGTGAGGCTAGAACGTTTGCAGAATTCAAGATCCATGTACAAGATCTGTTGGGTTTCTATGCACTAACAACAATCAGAACTTTTGAAAACAATACTATTTATAATAACAACACCAAAAAATATGACATTCTTAAGGGAATGTGTATGACAAACACATAAACCCCTGCATGCTAAAAACTACAAGACTGCTAAGAAAAATTAAAGAAGACCTAATTAAATGGAGAACTATGCCATATTCATGGATCGGAAAACTCAAAATATTAAGATGTCATTTCTCCCCAAGTAGATTGTCTCTCCCAAACAAAATCCACAGAAACATTTTTTTTCTGTAGAAATTGAGAAGCTTGGGACGCCTGAGTGGCTCAGCAGTTAAGCATACGCCTTTGGCTCAGGGCTGATCCCAGAGTCCTGGGATCGAGTCCCACATCGGTCTTCCTACATGGAGCCTGCTCCCTCTGCCTATGTCTCTACCTCAGTGTGTGTGTGTGTGTGTGTGTGTGTGTGTGTGTGTGTCTCATGAATAAATAAATAAAATCTTTAAAAAATTCTAGAAATTGAGAAGCTCAGTCTAAAATTACTGCGAATATACAAAGGACCTGGAATAGTCAAATAACTTTTAAAAGGAACACAAAATTTGAGAGCCAACAGTAGTAATTTTAGGACTTCTAAAACTATAATAATCAGAACGTGGTGGTATTGGCTTAAGAGTAGAAAAGTAACTCAGTGGAACAGAATAGAAAGTCTAGAAATAAATCTACACATATATGGACTGCTGATTTTTGACAAAGTTGAAAAGACAAATCAGTGAAGAAAGTATGTAGACTTTTCAATAAAGGTATTGGAATAATTGGACATTTATATGCCAACAAATGAGCCTTAAGCTGTAGTTCCTACCACATGTAAAAACCTAAAAGTAATCATAGATCTAAATATAAAACCTAAAACTAGAACTTCAAGAAGGAAACAAGAGAAAATTTTGGAGTCTTGAATTAAGCAGAGCATTTTCAGATATAACACAAAAAGCATGATCCATGAAAGAAAAATTTGGTAAATTAGATTTCATTAAAAATGAAAACTTCTGTTCTTCTAGAGACACTGTTAAGAGAATGACAAGAGAAGCTTCAGACTAGAAGATACTTGTAAAGTATATATCTGATCAAAAACTTGTATCCAGAGTACATAAAGAACTCTCAGAACTCAGTAATAAAAAACAACAGCCCAACAAATAAATGGACAAAAGATTTGAACAGATGCTTTCAAAAAATGGCTAAAAATTAAACAGACTTACCTTAAGAAGGTTGGTGAGGTTATAGATTAACTGGAATTTTCATACACTGCTGGTTTCATTATAAAATGGTACAGCTGCTTTGGAAAACAGTTTGGCAGTTACGTAAAAGTTTAAATTTATTACCAATATAATTCAGCCATTACACTCCTAGGTATTTACCTGAGGGAAAAAAATCATACTGATACTTGTACATGAATCTTAATGTCAACTTTATTTATAGGAGACAAAAACTAAATAACCTAACAATCCAAATGTCTATCAGTAGGTGGATGTGTAAAGAAATTCTGGTCTGGGGGATCCCTGGGTGGCGCAGCGGTTTGGCGCCTGCCTTTGGCCCAGGGCGCGATCCTGGAGACCCGGGATCGAATCCCACGTCGGGCTCCCGGTGCATGGAGCCTGCTTCTCCCCCTGCCTGTGTCTCTGCCTCTCTCTCTCTCACTGTGTGCTTATCATAAATAAATAAATAAATAAATAAATAAATAAATAAATAAATAAATAAATAAATAAATAAATAAATGAAATTCTGGTCTGTACAATGGAATACTACTCAAAAATAAAGAAGAATGAACTCTTGATATATATATTAACAAGGAATCTCAGATTAATTATTGTGAGTGAAAAGGACCAGATAAAAAAGAATATATAATTCAGTTTACATAAAACTCTAGAAAACTTAAATCTGTAATGATAGAAAGCCCGATCAGTGTTTGTGTCTAAGAGGGACTTTTGGAAGTGACGGTTATGTTCATTATCTTGATTGTAGTGATGGTGTTACAGTAAAATATTTTTACCAGGAAATGAATTTGAAATCTTAAAATACAGTAAACATTGATTAGTAAAAAGAAATTCTTGTAAGTTTTCCCCCCAAAAGACATTCTAGTTTTTCTTATTCAGTGAGAATTTAAGTAGGATATATAGGTGTTAGGGCACCCGGATGGCTCAGTTGGTTGCGCATCCTACTCTTAGTTTTGGCTCAGGTCATGATATCATAGGTTGTGGGATCAAGCCTCGTGTCAGGCTCCACATTAAGCCAGGAGTCTGCTTGTCCCTCTCCCTCTCTGCCCCTAGCCTGTGTACTCTCTCTCTAAAACAGTTAAGTAAATCTTAAAAAACAAAGATGATATAGGTGGTAAGTTTGCAATTTTGCTAATGAATACTCTTTTTAACTTTCAGGGTCTTGCCTATTTGCATACTAAAGGCAAAATGCATAGAGATATCAAAGTAAGTTATTTTAATATACTTAAATTGATAATTTTATTAGAAGGAGTTTTATGCTAATTTAATAGTATTTTTATTTTTGTTTTAGGGTGCAAATATTTTATTGACAGATCATGGTGATGTAAAATTAGGTATGTTACTTCATGTTCCTCACATTATTTCCCAAAAAGATTTAGTAAGATTTCAAATAAGAATTAACATTATAGAAGCTTAATATTAATATCAAGAACCCCAATAATGTTCATGTTTTGATCTAGTAATTATGTTCTGAGACTCTGTTTAAGGAAATTAATCCTAAAGAAAAAATCTATATTCTTAGAAGTATTAATTATACATTATTTATAACAGAAAAAATTACAAACATAGGGCTAGCAATAGAAAAATTTTTAGAAAAACTGGGGGCATCTGGGTGGCTGAGTCAGTTAAGCATCTGACTCAGTTTTGGCTCGAGTCATGATCTCAGAGTGCTGATATTGAGCCCCACATCAGGCTCAGTGGGGAGCCTGCTTGTCCCTTTCCTTCTATTCTTCCTTATGCTCTCTCCTTCTCTCCCTCCCTCCCTCCCTCCCTCCCTCCCTTTCTCTTTCTTTTTCTTTCCCCTTTGTGTGTGTGTGTGTGTGTGCATCTCCTAAATAAATTTTAAAAATCTAAAAAAAAAAAAAGAAAACTGTTAAAAGGTAATAAATCCACTTACGGAACATTATTCAGTCATCAAAATAGTTAAGGAGAACAAGAGTAGATTTCCTGAGATGTTAGTTAAATGACAAAAATGAATTGTATATATATATATATTTAGTTTTTACAGTCCTGTGTAACAACAATAAAAACATTTATATAGAGAAAAAAAGACTCTTTAATAGCATCAAAATACTACCCTAGTTGTGTTAGAATAAAAGGCATTCAGGTGGGTGGTTTATTTATCTTTTTTTTCCTAATTAACTTCAGTGTGCTTGTAACAAATTTTTTATTAACTTTATTATTTATAAAGTATGTTTCATTCTAGTAAAGTGCCAAAAAATATTTTTCTTTAATGAATATGTTACAAACCAAACAAGAAAAGATTTAGGAATTCAATTTATATACATTTCTCTAGCATTACTGTCTGACTTCTTAATAAGGGCATGCCTAAGGGTGAAATTTAGAAATGTGGGTGATTTTATTGAAAGAATTAAAATTTTATTCAATTTTTTTTTCCTTACTAGCTGACTTTGGCGTGGCTGCAAAAATAACAGCTACCATTGCAAAGAGAAAATCTTTCATTGGCACTCCCTACTGGTAAGATATTATTATGATTGGATTTGTGCATTTTCATTTCTTCAGACTTGGTGGTCAGCATTGATACTTAGTGATACAAGTGATGGTTGACTGAAAGTCTGGAGATTTGCATGCTCCTTGATACTGTTGTACTTCTGATTGGGTTAGGGAACTTTGATACCCATTTTTATTGTCCAGCTTTCCAACTGTGTTAAAGTACTAATAATTCCTGCTGTCCCTAGGATTTTGTATTAAGAGCATACATAGGTATGCGATTTTTCAAAAGAAAGACTCTTAATTATAATCTCTTGTCATTTTAGTACACTTTCTTTTGGTATTGATTCTATTTCTTGTTTAAAATCTATAAATGCAACAGCCACCTTTCTCAGTGCATCTTACCAAGTACTGACAGGATGATCTTTCTAAAACACTGCTTTCATTAATGAAGACAGGTATAAGAATAATAGAAAACCTAGTAATAAACCTTAACAAGTAAAATAATTTAGTGAATATTATAAAAGGTGACAGTTAAAGTTTGTATGAAAGGTTGGATTTTTGAATATGCAGTGTTTGGGTAACTTACTATTTGGAAGGAAATTTAAAGTCGCTTCATACCTCATACCTAATGCCAAAATAAATTATATATGGAAATAGTTAAATATAAAAGTGAAACCAAATGAACTATCAGTGCCTATCTGCTTTAAGAGTTGAGTAAGCCAGGGCGCCTGGGTGGCTCAGTCATTTAAGCATTTAACTCTTGGTTTTGGCTCAGATCATGATCTCAGTGTCATGAGATCAAGCCCCATGTCAGGCTCCATGCTCACCACAGAATCTGCTAGAGATTCTCTCCCTATCCCTCTACCCCTCTTCTTGCTCACTTGGTCTCTCTCTAAAATAAAATAAATAAATAAAATCTTAAAGGAAGAGTTGAGTAAGCCTTTATTGGCATAAAAGCATAAAACATTAAAGGGAAAAATTTATAGATTTAACTACGTGGAAATTTAAAGGTTCTGTACATTCACTAGCTTGAACAAAAGTGAAAGGCAAATAACAAATCAGGAAATATCCACTAAAATATAACAAAATAGGTTTAATATCTTTAATATAAAAGTTCTTAATAAATCAATAAAAATGTTTCATTAGAAGCAGAGTTATTAAAGTAATACATATAAGATATGAAATATGGGCAGCCACGGTGGCCCAGCAGTTTAGCACCGCCTTCAGCCCAGGGCGTGATCCTGGAGACCCGGGATCAAGTCCCACATTGGGCTCCCTGCATGGAACCTGTTTCTCCCTCTGCCTGTGTCTCTGCCTCTCTCTCTCTCTCTCTCTCTCTGTGTGTGTGTGTGTGTGTGTCTCATGAATAAATAAATAAATCTTTAAAAAAAATATCATGAGGGATCCCTGGGTGGCGCAGCGGTTTAGCACCTGCCTTTGGCCCAGGGCGCAATCCTGGAGACCCGGGATTGAATCCCACATCGGGCTCCCGGTGCATGGAGCCTGCTTCTCCCTCTGCCTGTGTCTCTGCCTCTCTCTCTCTCTCTCTGACTATCATAAATAAATAAATAAAAATTAAAAAAAAATATCATGAAATATGAAATATGTCTCCCCTAATGATGACCAAAAAATGTAAATTAAATGAACAATTCTTTACTATCAAATTGGAAAATATTTGGAATCATGGGTAATACCTAGCATTATCACTAAATATTTGACAGTGGAAATGGAAATTGGTAGAACAATTTTGAAGGATAATTTGGCAATAATGTTTTTCATAAGCCTTTCACAATGTTTATATTCTTTAGTCTTAATTCTGCTTGTAGTAATTTCTCAGAGAGACACACAGATTATTATATAAAAAGCTTTATCACAGTACTTTAATAATAAAAGATTGAGGGAAGGTATATACATACAAGAATAATTAAAGAAATTATGAACATTTATTCAGATCAATGGAATGAATTGCTGGGATTAAAAATCCTCTTGTAGGGGATCCCTGGGTGGCGCAGCAGTTTGGCGCCTGTCTTTGGCCCACGGCGCGATCCTGGAGACCCGGGATCGAATCCCACGTCGGGCTCCTGGTGCATGGAGCCTGCTTCTCCCTCTGCCTGTGTCTCTGCCTCTCTCTCTCTCTCTCTGTGACTATTATAAGTAAATTAAAAAAAATTTAAACAAAATCCTCTTGTAAAAGGTGAATGGTCAGTGGACAAATTCATGATATACTATTATTCAAAAAAACAAGATTAAAAATAGCACATGTAAGATTAAAAGTAGCATAATATAATGCCATGTTAAGAAGATGTGTGTATAAATAAAATTTCCGGATGTAAATACGTGAAACAGTGGCTCTTATTGAGTGGGATTTTTGACATGTTTTCTTCCATATATTCCAAATTCTCTTTATCATCACATATCAATTATAACAGAAAAGAAGCCCTAATAAATATAACTTAAATAAAAGTTAAAACATAGCTAAGTTAGATTACCTATAGAATTTCCTTCATCATATGCTGATTTCCTTCCTCAGTCTCTTTCTGTGACTGTCCCCCTCTCTCCCCACAGGAACATTATCCTCTAGTCAAAATTTGGTTTTTGTACCCCTAACTATATTAGGTATTATTACCTCCCTAGTATATCTATCATCTCTGTTTATCTTAAGTCCTGCCCTGTCTTAAAAGTGGCACATACTCTGCCTTTCTTCACCCATGGTAGCCAGATAGATCACAGCTCTGCTTTCCACTGAGCCAGGAATTGCAACACTCCTGGTCAATTTGGTGCTCCACTTACCCACCACTAACTGATTCTTATATGCTTTCTCTAGGTTCCAGCTCAGCTTTCCTGTCTGAAACTTGCTCTTAGTCATTTTGTTCCATAGTAGTGATTATTTTCTTCTCTTTACTACTATATCCATTTTTATGTATATAGTATTTGCATATACCAGGTACATCTACATATTAGTATTTTTAGTATACGTATTTTATATCCTTAACCACCTTTAAGTTGAGAGACATTGTGCTATGTAACTTTTTGTAATCTAAATACCTATAAAAGGAACTTCTAGGGGCTCTTGGTTGGCTCAGTTGGTTAAATGTCTGCCTTTGGCTCAGGTCATGGTCTCAGGGTCCTAGGATGGAGCCTCACATCCTACTCCCTGCTCAGTAGGGAATCTTCTTTTTTTTTTTTTTTTGAAGATTTTATTTATTTATTCATGAGAGATACAGATAGAGAAAGAGAGAGAGGCACAGGCAGTCAGAGAGAGAAGCAGGCTACATGCAGGGAGCCCGACAGAGGACTCGATTCCGGGTCTCCAGGATCACACCCTGGGCTAAAGGCAGCACTAAACCTCTGAACCACCCAGGTTGCGCAGGGAGTCTGTTTCTCCCTCTCCCTGTGCTCCTCCACCCTGCTTCTGCTCTCTCTTTCTCAGATAAATAAATAAGATCTTTAAAAATAAATAAAAATAAAAGCAACTTCTATCTTATGGATATTTAATATAAATATAATTTTAAAATAGTAAACATTAAAAAAGAGTATTCCCCCTGAGTATTATTTATACTTTATAACTTCAAATGGCATTGTTATATACCAATGAATCCCAGAGAACTCCAACTCAGCTTCTAAGTTGACCTTCAATCTTAGGTAAATTTATAGTTATTTAATAATAGCTCTACTTTAATATCCACAAGCATTTTATACTCAAATCAGTCTCGTCAGTCAATCCCTTTCATTCCGTCCCCTCTGCCACTGCCTTTAAAAAGTCCTTTATCTATTTTTCCTTGTATTTTTGAAATAGTCTTCCAACTCATTCACTGGACTCTGTTTTTACCTACTCTCAAACTGTCTTTCATTTTACTTTGAGTATTAGATCAAATTTACCTCCCAAGATTACCTACCCCATTTTCACAAAACTTCTTGTATAATCAGTAAGCCTTTCATTATCTAGCTCCTACCTCTGAGGTTCATTTTGCAAATACATTTTAGACTCTCTCAAACTACCTGTGGTGAACAACCAATTTTCTAAAATTCCCTGCTTAGAAATGAATTACTAAAAAATGATCATATATTTGGCCGAGAGTTAATGCTCTCAACTTCTGTACTTATCATAGACTCCTAACAGTTTATGGCTCTGTGTAAGACTGTAGATCATACATTGGGTAGTGCTGTCCTATTACCTTTCCAGGTGTTCCATGCTCTTTTCTGTCTCCCACATTTACACTGTTTCTTCTGACTAAAATATTGAGGCTCCTCACCCTGCCGTAACCCCATGCTGATTCATTCTCAAGTCTCACCTCCTTTGGGAGCATTTCTGACCTTCATGGGGATTTAGGTATTCTTTTCCCGTATATGGCAAGATTCACAAAACAAACTGAAGTAAGACAACACAGTTTTTCCTCAGAGCACCAGTCTTCAGAGAAGAGCGAAGATTTTTAAATAATGAATTTTAAAGAGTATTTCTGTATATATGTGATATTCTTTCCTAGTAAGCGTCTATCAGCCTCTTTCCCAATTATTTAACAAAAAATAGCAGATTGCCTATAATTTTAAAAACTAAGCTGTTGGGCAGCCCGGGTGGCTCAGTGGTTTAGCGCCACCTTCAGCCCAACGCGTGATCCTGGAGACCTGGATCGAGTCCCGCGTCGGGCTCCCTGCATGGAGCCTGCTTCTCCCTCTGTGTCTCTGCCTCTCTGTCTCTGTGTGTGTCTCTCATAAATAAATAATAAACAAAATCTAAAAAAAAAAAAAAAAAGCTAAGATGTTACATCCACTGATTCCTTCTAGGATGGCCCCAGAAGTTGCAGCAGTAGAAAAAAATGGTGGCTACAACCAGCTCTGTGATATCTGGGCAGTGGGAATAACTGCGATTGAACTTGGAGAACTTCAACCGCCTATGTTTGATCTTCATCCAATGAGGTGTTCTCACTATCTACAATTACACAACTGTTTATAAAGTCTTTGGGGAGAATGAAATATTGATAACTTGGGTGTTCCCAGCTCATTTTCAAATATGTCAAAATAGTAAAGGTGTTGTAAGGAACCTAGGGATAATCAATTGAACCTAACACCTGCTCTCCTTTGTTGCTGTTCCTAAGGTAGCATAGAGTGAATGGTCTGTACTATTCGAGGTTTTTCCATAAAACAAATCTCCTTTAATAATCATACAAAGACATAGCAATTATCATTTGAAAAGTTTCTTTTAAGTCTTGGAGCACCTGGGTGGCTCAGTCGTTAAGCATCTGCCTTTGGCTCAGGAGTCCCACCCACACTGGGCTCCTTGCTCAGCAGGGAGCCTGCTTCTCCCTCTCCCTCTGCCTGCTGTTCCTCCTGCTGTGCTCTCTCTTTGTCAAATAAATAAAAATCTTAAAAATTAACAAATAAGTTTTTTTTAAGTCCTTACATTGATTCTTCCATCAACTGAGCTTCTTTTTCTCTTCTAAGCAGAATTCTAAGTAAATGATAAAAGATGTAGATGAGATTTTTTTCTATTCTTTTTTAATTTTTTTTCTTTCTCTTGTCAAGGGATAATGAAGAAGTAATTATGTCTAGCATAATTATTATTTACATTTTAGGGCATATGTGTCAGAAAAAATATTTGAGAGCCTTTGAAAGGGTTTTTAATATTTTCAAGGAAAAGATAAATTGAGCTAAAATTTGAACTTTTAAAGTAAATAGTATAAAGTTGAAAAGAAAATCAACAGTGGGGAATGTGTTCTTCTAACATAATAGCGGATTAGTGTATATTACATAAGGAATTCATTTAGAGACTCTATAGGCAAAAGACATGGTTTATGAGCAAGTACCAGATACAAAGAAACTTGGAAAACTATTTGACCTCACAAGTAACTAAGGATACACAAGTTAAAGGTAGCTACTTTTAGCTGGAATGCCATTATAAGTAGAGATCTTCAGGAAAATAATTTGATTTTGCCTGTTATGGGAAATACAAATGTTTGATTGATTCTACTACTTGGAAAATTATACTTAGGAAATAATCCAAGAAAACAAAAAGCTAAGAATTATCCATTTTGGGTTAACAAGGTGAAAAATTTAAATGTCCAATAGCTGGTGAATTGGGTTTTTAGTTTTATTTTTAGGTTGGTGAATTGTTAAATTTTTAGGCATTAAGAGCAGCTGTTACATATGTATAATCCAAAGCTACATAGAAAATTGGTTATTAGTGAAAAAAAGTAATATTACCTAATATTATTATAATAATTGGTTATATAAAGACTAGAGAAGAGCAGAAGATTTGAAATAATGACTCAGGGTACTAGGAATGTAAACTTTATATATGAATCATTTCATTTTTAAAAGAGAAAATATCTTTGGCATTTAAAAAAAAAGACTAAGGAGTTTGCTTAGAAACCCATAAAGGGTTTTGTAGGAAACACTGAAATAGAGCATTTTAGAACTTCCTTCTTAAATCTTCCATCTTTCTGCCCCCATAGCCATAGAAAATGAGTCAAAGGTGAATTCACAGAGAAAGTCTTCTTGCAGGTGGACTTTTCTATCTTTCATTATAAAAAATGTGGAAAATTTTTTGTCCAAATGAGGGGAAAAGACTAGGAAATGGATATAATTTGCCTATAACCAAAATAATTATAGAGACAGATTGTCCATTAAGCATACAACCAAATGCTGGAGTAACATGTCATCTCTGTGTTACAGAATGATCCATAATTACTACATATATTTATGTCTAAGGTACAATGCTAGTTATGTATGATAACAGTATTGTAATAAAATCCTTCTCCAACATTTGATAGCTTTACCTTGTAAATAAAGAGCTTGTTTGACATTTAAATATCCTCTCTTATAGCTAGGAGAGGTTTTCTGTAGAGTATCTAAAATATAAAAAATTTAATTTTCAGGGACACATGGCTGGGTCACTTGGTAGAGTATGCGACTCTTAATCTCAGGGTTGTAAATTCAAGCCCCATATTGGGTATAGAAGACAATGAATGAATGAATGAAGTCACATCAGTAAACTTTAAAAAAAAGTCTTTTTAAAAAATTTAACTTACATATTCCATACCAGTTTTTATCGGTGCCTACATATTTAATAATTTGTATAAATGTATTACAGAATATTCATTCTGATTATTAGATGAAATAGTAAAAGTATTTCAATATTGCTCTTTAACTGAAATTTTTATTCCAGGGCCCTCTTCTTAATGTCAAAAAGTAATTTTCAGCCTCCAAAACTAAAGGACAAAACAAAATGGTAAGTTAATATATAGAGATTTCATATATATATCTGGAATTTTACAGATGAAAAGGAGACAGGTTCATTTCCCTTATCTTATAGATGATAAAACTGAAGCCTGTAGCTATTAAGCAATTTACCTGAAGTTATATATCTAATTTATTTGCAGAGTTGTGGCAGGGATATAGGTTTATTTCCTTGACAGTTCCAGTTGCTTAGGAACTTAGAGTAACAAGGAATAGGAAGAAACCCATGTCAATCCAAAAGATTTTTATTATCTACTGGTCTGGTAAAACTCTGATCATATTGTTAGACTTTTGGAAGCTTGGATAAGAGGTGTGGGAGAAAGCATTGGATATGAATATATTAAAATTCTGGAGATTCATATCTTTGCCTTGTATTCTATTCTGTTAATGATGTGCTGACTTTTATGGAAGGTGATATGAAAAGGTTTCCCAGGTACCATGACACTTTATGACTGTTGACTTTTTCTGCCTTCCTTACCTAATAGTCAAAAAGGTTATTATTTATTTTCATCCTAATCTCTTTTTTCTCTTACTAAGTAAAGCAGTTTGCCTCTTCTTAAAGTCCATTAGGACATCTTTAATTGGATGATAAAGTTGAAAATTATTTTTCTGATAATGTTTTCCCATACATTTAATAAAAGAAACCATGCAAATAAGTTTCCAAGCTCTTAAATTCAGGAATTCTTCATCTAGATTTAATGGATTTCTCATGCGGGGAGAGTTCTGTATGTATATTCATTCTTCTAGGGAGACAGTCCGTATTTTGTTTCAAATTCTAAGAGGCCTGTCCCCCAAACAGGTTCTAAACTACTTTTTTATGTTTTATTGGCTGTTTGTGCAAAGTATTACTTAGGAGCCAAGCCATTCTGGGGATGATGCCAGTAGTGAAAGGAAAATCACTCTGGAAATAAAGGAGTTTATATCCTACTAGTGAGCCCGTGCTCACTTCAGCAGCACATATATATCCTACTGTGACTGTATTCTTTTATGTTGATATGGATTTCTTCCTAATCCTTGTTACCCTAAGCTCCTAAGCACCTGGAACTGGAGGACTTTATAGCAGGGATGATTGGATATTCATTCAGGAATGAGTGACTACTAGCTGTTATGGCTAAACTCACAGATTCTAGAGCAGTCATTGTCATTGGAGTACATTTTCCAGTCTCAGGGTACTCTATTAACTCCATGTTATCTCCACAAGTCACCAAATATAATACAGTTATTTGATTTCTCCGCAAGAGAACTGTTATGTGGTTGCTGTCGTTCCTTAGAAATTCAGTGACCTTTTAAGATTTAAATAATCATGTATATTACCCACTATCCCTCGATGCCATTCTTCTGGTATAGGAAAACATTTATATTTTATATAAATTAACCTTTGAGAAAAGGCCATTTTGATCCTAAGTGGCACCTAGAACACAAGATTATAAATCCTATAAATGACACAACTACCCATTTCTAGTTTTTATTGTATTTTTTAGAGGTATGTTGCTGTTTTATTACCTAATTTCATTTTACTTAATAGATAAAACTGACACCTGTTTTCAAGAAATATACTGTGCTTTGAGTTTTGTTTTTTGGCTTATGTAGAGCTAAGAAGCCTAAGAGAAAAATTGTATGTTTCAGACTTTCTAACTTCTTATAAACTAGTTTTATTTAGTAACACCAAAAAACTAATATTAGTGAAATATTTTTGTACATGTCTCTTTTTATTTGAAGGTCATCAACATTCCATAATTTTGTCAAAATAGCACTAACCAAAAACCCCAAAAAAAGACCAACTGCTGAAAGACTTCTGACTGTAAGTCAATTTAAATTATAGGGGAATTTTCTGTAGTCATGCAGTAAGTAGGAATATCACTTGAACAAAAGTATTTATAATTTTTAATATAAAAATTTAGTGATCTATTGCAGGGGTCAGCAAACTTTCTATAAAGAGCTAGTAAATGTTTTAGGCTGTGGGGCCATACGGTCTATGTTGCAACTACTAAATTTTGCCATTGAACCACTGAAGCAACCATAGACAGTATACTTGAATTAGTATTGCTTTAATACTCAACACTATTTACGAAAAGAGACAGTGCCCCAGATTTTCCCCATTGGCTTTAGTTTGCCAATCCCTGCCTAGAGAAAACTTTAAAAAATGTTGCTATCATCTTTCTTGGTTTCTTATGTAAATTTATAGAATGCTCTGTGTCTTTATGTATTATAAATATTTTTATATTAGAAAAAGTTAATTATTACAGTGGTCTAAGGAAACCTTATTTAAATGTAAAAATTGAATTATATGTCTTTGTACATTTATATAATATTACGGAGTTAAATGTATGCAAATTTGGAATACATTTACTTGTTTCTTATGGACTGTACCTCAGTATTCATTTGCATACATTTCACTATAATGACATGAGTAATGTATGTCTAGTTGTTATAGCCAAGGTTGTAATTTTATAACCTAATGTAGATCAGATAACTTAGAAAAATTATTCATGTTATAAACTTATTCCACAAGAGTTCCTTAGTTTGATAATATGTGATTGTGGTTTCTCTGATTAATATTTTTACTAAATACATTCTCTCATTTATTTGTATTACTAGACTCGCATATGCTTGTCTCTTATAGCTACTGGATGAAAAAGCACAGATAACATTTTCTATAAACCATTGATGTAAAAGCATACTCATGAAATTTTATTTTGTTTTGTTTTCACTTAGCATACATTTGTAGGGCAGCCAGGTCTCTCTAGGGCCCTAGCAGTTGAGCTGTTGGACAAAGTGAATAATCCAGACAACCATGCACATTACACTGAGGGAGATGACGATGACTTTGAGGTAAAGAGTGTTTGCAGTCTAATATTTGAAAATAAATGTTTAATATGGTCTGAGAGTTTGTTTTCTAATTTATTCTTTTAGTTGTAACAGATTTAGCCACAAAGATTAATTAGCAATGTAAACTTAACTTATCCTGCATATAATTAACAGTTGATAGATACTTTAAAAAAATTGCAGTATAACATACATAACATAACTGATTGACACTTTTTCTGGAAAGAACGAGGATTATTAATCTAATTAAAACTATCATTTTATTTTCATAGTTGGTTTGCCCAAAGTTATTAAGAGGTGGCCAAGGTTTAGAATCAGATCTTTTTCCCCTCCCAGATTCCAGAAGTGCTTCCCTTCTCCCTAGATCTCGGGTTCTGAAGTAAGAGTTTGATCTTTCTCTAAAGAGAAAGGACATCTATTTCTATTTTTAAGGAAATAAAAGTTTTTAGGAACATTGCTTTGGACCAAGAAAACAAAAAATTTAGAGCACATATTTTTCACAAAGGAGACTCTCTAGAAATCCAATTGGTCATTTTCTAGTTTTTCTATTACAGATTATTAACAGGAGATAAATAATTTTTAAAAATTGAGATTCCCAAAGGAATTTTATCCTTTCCAATATTTGTTGAAGACTATTATATTTTATATTATTACATGTAATACTGTTCCAGTGTTTTCCTTCCCTGAAAATACTGTAAAATATTTTTGAATATATTCTATTTAACAACAAAACCTGTAAATCAGGAATGAGGGGCTTCCTGCTCATTGGCAGGTAACTATTATGTTTGTATGACATGACTGTACTTTTCCACCAGTCTCTCTTCCTCTTTTTTTTAGGATTTCTTTTTATTTCTGTGATTCTCTGAATTTGTCTCGTCATTTCTCTTTATGCCTTTATTTCCTTTTATATCTCTACCTCCACTCTGGCAAGACTATAGAACCAGACTTTTTGTATTATTATTTGTTGGAAGAAATGTTCTACTTTATGTTCTTAAGTTTTGAATTATACCATGTAAGTATCATGATAAGTACTAACACTCATTGAGTAGTCATTGTGTATCAAGTGTTAGGCCAAATAATTTTCACGTTAACTCATCTAATACTCAAAAAACAGTCCTTTGCAACAGATTCTATTTTATCCACATTTTATAAATGAGAAAAAATAGAAGTAGTTTGCCCAAGATCATATGGCCAGTAAGAAGTGGAACCAGTATTTGGATCCAAGGCAAACTAACTCCAGAGCCTATTGTTTAATTGATATCACACCATTTCCATGTATGTATTTAATAGAAATAGACATTAAATAATCTTTGAAAACTAATATTTAAAAACTAATCATCACTGCCTAGTGTATAGTATAGTCTTTGTCATTAGATACTAATGAATATTTTGTTGAGTGTTAAATGAACTTTAATTGAAAAAAATGGAATAAACTAGCCATTCATAGATATTTTTTACTTAAACCTTCATTTGAAGATTTGTAATAATTAAGATTTTAATCCCTTAAATAATTAAAAATCATTAAAATTGTTGTAGCTTAAATGTGGAATTGATTTTGCTTGATTCCCCAATTTGTCTACACTGGTTATGCAAATAACCAGACTCTTTATTCCTCGTGTTATTTTGCTGGGCTTCCCAGATTCACTCTCCCTTCTGGAGTTCTCCATTTCTGTTTAATGATATCACCATAATTTTCATTTCTTGAAATCCTATGCCTTCATAGTTGGAAACACAGTGTTGTATGAGATTCACACTGTCCCTACCTTCAGAGAACTTCTGGTATGGTCTCAAAGGAAACTCAGGAATACCAACAAATAATTTACAAGTGTGGTAACTGTTATGGAATGGGAAATATGGTGTGCTGTGTAGCCATATTTTATGGGTGGGTAAGGACTTGCTGAAGGAGTGATATGTAAGTTGAAAACCTGAAGGAGAAATCGAAATTAGAGGAAGAGAGCAAGCAGAATTGTTCTGAGCAGAGAGAATAATAACATGTTGGAAAACCTAGAGATTAGAAGACTATATACTTGAGAAACTAAAGAAAGTCTGGTTTGAGTAGAAAACAAGGTAAGGAAGATAGTGGGATATGAAGTTACAGAGCTTTAGCTAGCCATTTTAAAAACTTGGGGCTTTATCTAAGGTGGTAGAAGCCATTAAAGGGGAAGGGAATAGTTGTATATGCATTTTTTAAAAGATCTCTATGACCTCAGAATTCCATTTCTGAAAATCTTTTAAAAGGCTGTTGAGGTCATCTAGGTTAGAGATTGGTGGTGTTTTAGACTAAGAGTGGAGAGCAAGGATGAAGAAAGGTGGACTAATTCAAGAATTCTCTGTGAGAGTTGGGGATTTGATGAAGATGTGAGGGTGGGGGATGAATAAAGATTTGAGGTAGGAAAAAAAAAAGATTTGAGGTAGGAACACTAGAGTAAAACCAGGTTTGGAAAGAAAGATGAGTTCAGTTTTACGTATGAGTAATTTTGAGGTTGCATAGGAGTTCCAAACAGAGAGGTCTCATGAGGAATTAGATAAGTGGTTATACATCAGGGAGAAAAGTTTAGACTATAGATATAAATTTGTAAGTCACTAAGTATAGAAGTAGTTAATACCTTAGGGAGTAAATGTGATCACTCAAGAGAAGTATGTAGAGTGAGAAAAGAAAAGGCCTAAGACAGCATCCTGAGATTTTTCAAAATTTAACAATCAAATTGGCTAACGGGCACCTGGGTGGCATTGGTTAAGTGTCTGACTTTGGTGTCAGCTCAAGTTGTGATCTCAGGGTCGTGAGATCAAGCCCTGTTGTCCAGCTTCACACTCAGCAGAGTATGCTTAAGATTCTGATTCCCTCTCTCTTTGTCCCTCTGTGCTCTGTCTCTCAAATAAATAAATAAATCTTAAAAAAAAAAATCAAGTAGGTTAAAAGGAATGGCGAAGGATTGATAAAGACCATTAAAAGACGGAGGGAAAGTTTCAACAAGAATATTGCCTAGAAGATAAGTTTAAAAAATCTTTGGATTTAGGTGGTAGTGCTTGATTACTTTTTTAAAAGGATAATACTCAAATTATAGAGGTGAAACTGGATTGGAGTGGTTTGAAGGGTAAGTATAGCAATACATTTATGCAAATTAGTTGTGAAAGGGAGAGGTAGCATGAACAGTATCTGGAGGAAAATGAGTTGGTGGGGGATTTATTTAATTAGGTATTGTTTATGTGGGGAAAGTAATTTTAAACAAGATTAAATGCTTATGAAAAGGATCCAACAGATAGAGATAGGAAAGATTTAAGAGAAACCAGATGATTAGGCAAAGTCTCTGAGAAAGGAAAAAAGGCTGGAATATAGACTATGAGACACTTGATTTTAGGTCATGAAACACTTCTCTTGTGTTAGGAGGATAGTTGAGATTTGCCACTAAAAGATATCTTCTATTTGATTATTCCAGTTTTCTCTGTGAAGTAAATGGAAAGGTCATCTCTTGAAAATCTGAGGGAAAATGAGTGGGTTTGAAGAGTATGGAGAGAAGGTGCGAAATAGTAATTGAGGAGAATGGTTGGGTTAAATGATTAAACAAGTGTTTGTGAGCAAAGCTGAAGCCTCAGGTGAGATGAATTTTCAGTGTGGTCTGCTGAGTGACTTTCCTCCAGTAGTTATTGGTATCCCCGTATAAACACAAAGAGTTAATTTAGCTTAATTCAACTATGGTTGTCATTTTGGCATGACAGAGAACTGAAGGACAGTGGGGCAAAGGGAATTTAGGATATTGGCAATAGATTGCTGGAAATTGTAGACCATTAGATACAGACTGGATAGGAAGAAAAGTGAAGACCAGATAAATGCTGATGGAAGGTAACAAGGTAATGGGTCAATGGACTTGGGATTCCAATGTGAACATAAAATAGTATAATAGGAGTGAGAGTGAGCTCAAGGGTGAGAAGTTTGGAGCATAGTGTGGGTTTGAGTATCAGAACTGATGGCAAGGTCCAGAGTGTGATCTTAGGAATCGAGAGTGTATTGAAGTCTGGGAGAGTGTCTTTAGAGATGAGGTCAGAAAACTTAAGTCCCAAACAATGGGCTGTTGAAGTCCCTTGGTATGATAGTGGGTCTTGAAGTAGAGGAAAAAACACATGAGCCACTATACATCATGTGAATGAGAGTGAGTCATTAGAAATTTGGTAGGTGGCAGTTGAACTGAAGGTATAGTTTCAAAGGATCAGGAGCTTATGCAAAAGGGTATAACGTAGCAAGCTTCTCACTTGATTTACTACAATATGCTTACTCAGTCTCCTTGTATCCAGTATTCCTCCCCTCTGTACCTTTTGACATTATCCAGTTCCTCTTAAATCTGACTCCGAAATACTTTTTTGAAAAATCACCAAAAAATTTATTTGCTGAGAAAATGAAATTGAGAGCCATTGGCTGACATTTGGAGTCTTTCATGATCTGGCTCTTGCCCAGTCTGTCCAGCTTTGTTATCTCTTCACTTAATCTTCACTGAAGCCAAATAATAGTCAACTCCAGTCCCCCTGAATGCTACAATTTCTTTTTCTTGCCTCACTTTATTCACATTCTCTCTGCTGTCTAGAATGCTTCCCACACTGCTACACATCAATGCCTACTGTCCTTCAGGCCCAGATCAGATTACAGCTCTGTCATGAAGAAATTCTATACCCCTTCAGGTGGAAGTCATTTCTTTCTCATCTGGGCATTATTTTAGTAATTGTCTTAATGAATGGCCTTCACCATTTTCTAATCTTATTAAGTATTTGTGTGTCTTTACTGCCTAGACTATAAACTCCTTGAAGATAAAATTTATCTGACTTTCTTTGCATCTTTTCAGTATTTTATACAGTATAAAAATGGCATAAATGAGTAACTTTTAAAGTATCTTAGTGTTCATTTTATTATGTTTATCCTATAATTTATTAGTAGGTAGTCATGTTTGTTAGTAAATGATCATTTAGTTGAAAAGTTTGACCTTTTAACTTTATCATTGAAATTTTTTAAAGTGTGTATATTATGCTTATATTCACAGCCCCATGCAATCATTCGTCATACCATTAGATCTACAAACAGGAATGCCAGAGCTGAACGGACAGCTTCAGAAATAAATTGTATGTGTTTGGTATACATTTTCAGTTGGTGGTTTTGGAGGGTTGAGCTGAGTGTTCTTGTGGGTCTTTTGGAAAAATAAAATTTCAGACTAACTGAGGCTACATGCTTTAACATAATCAGAATACCTCTAAAATAGAGGTGGTTTCTCTGGTTTGTAATGGAATTCTGTTGTTTTTTAGTTAAATGGTTTTTATGTACTAATTATAAAGGTAATGAATGTATGTTCGTTTTAGAAAATTTGTGAGAGGAAAAAAATTAACATTGCCCATAATCTCATCACTGGTACCAACCCACAGATAATATTTTTGCTAAATTGCCTTCATCTTTTTATATGGCTGAATTTATGCATGACTAAATTTACTTAACATAGAAGCATTTTCAATATACTGGCTTAGCCTTTATAACCATTAAAGATTGCATCTTTCTTCGATGTGATATATTGTAGTTAAATAGTTTCCTGTTGTTGGACATTTGGGTGGGTGAGTTTCGGTTTTTTTTAGTCAGGTTAACAGGAGAATGGAATCTTTTTCTAAAATATATACTTAAAAGGGGAAATTGCTATTTATTCAATAAATTAATCATTTACAAATATTTTATATTAAGGATATTTGTCATTTTTAGCCAAATTAATTTAGAAGAACAGATTTACAAAGAAATTTTCAGTATGAGTATATTGACCTAAATGCATATTTGCTTCAAAAGGTATTTTTAAAAGTTTACAGTAAAATGAGATTAAAAACTATAAACAGTAATGGAGGAAGATAATTTATTGAATATTTAAACTAATTAGAATTATTGCAGATGAGCATTTTGTTGAAGTCTGAGTTTACCTGAACCCAGATATTTTTAGCTTTCTGGATACATTTTTGGAAGTATCTAGGTCAGTGGAGAGTTAGAATGTCCTTCCCATATCAGTCCATTCAATCAGACCTTTTCTTAGTTAAACCGGTAATTCAAGATTTTATCTCTTTGTTAGTCCCAGATTGCTGATATTTCTTATGCTGTCTTCTTATATAATCCCAAGTGAACTCTCTGGACTTCAAATACCATACAGAAAAGTAGCAAAGTTGCTATTGCATTTTAAAGCTATCTTTATTTTATGCAGGTATATAGGTATTCAGTTAATGTCGTCTAGCTTATCTATATATTCTTCTGTAGCTTTTGGATTTTGTGTCATATTTAGCAAAGCCTTCCTGATTTTTTTTTAAGCCTTCCTGATTTTAAGATTACAAAAGAATTCTATTATTTTTCTTCTATTTTTACAGTTTCACTTTTTTAATATTTAAATCTTTGATATAAGATGTTAATTTATTTGGTAAGAGGTATGAAGTACAGATTTAGCTTCAATTTCTTTTTAAATGAGTATCCATTTGTCTAAATGCTAATTATTAAAAACTTAGTACTTTTAAGTGGATTTGACATACCACCTTTATGATGTACTAAATGACCATAAATATTTTTTGATTCTTTCCAGAAATTCTGTCTAGTCATGTGCCAATAGCATAATTTGATCATTTTGTCTTTATATTACCTGTTAAAATCTGTTCAGACTAATCCTCCTCCTATTCCCCTCACTGCCCCCCTCCCCATACATATCTTGTTGCTGTTCTTTGTTATATTTGGCTATTTATTTTCCTACATACACTAAAAAATCAGCTTATCTAGTTAAAAAAAATTCTCAGCATTTTTACTGAGACTTCATAAAAGTTCATGTATTAAGTTGGGGAGAGTTGACCCCTTTATGATGGTCTGTCTTCTTAACTAAAATAGACTTTTTTGGGGTAAGCCCAAGACTTAGTTCTTTCACGAACCCCCGGGATACTAATTAACTTCATGGAGTAAGCTCTGTGTGCTTCACGTACCAGAAAAAAAAATTACTAAAGTTGAAGGTCATTTTATTTGTGATTTATCTTTACATATTCTCAAGTCTTCTTTTGTGTCTGTCAAGAACATTTTATAGCTTTGTTTTTATTTGTTTAATAGATGTTATATACACCTATTCTTAGTTTTCTGTTTCATTTAAATTTGAACTGATAACTTACATACAGTAAAATGCATAGGTGTAACATATGATGAATTTTTAAATAGGTATATACTCAGGAAACTGCCACCCAGATCAAACTAGAACATTATCAGAAAGCCTCTTCCCTCATGCTGCTTCACAGTCAGTGCCCTTCTGTCTTCTTGTATCCCCCTGCCCTTTCCAATGCCCAGGCTAATCACTGTTCTGTTCACTTACCACCATAGATTGGTTTTTACCTTCATCTGGATCTTCAGATAAATGGAATATACAATTTGTACCCTTTTTGCTTTTTTTTTTTTTGTTCAACATTATGTCTGTGAGAGTCATTCATGTCATGTATAATAATAGTTCATTGTTTTCACAGTAGTATATTTTATTGTATGATTATAACACAATTTATCCATTCCTTGGTTGATGGGCATTTGATTTGTTACTAGTTTTTGGCTACAGTGACTAGTATAAGCATTCTTACTATGTGTTTTTAGTGGACATAAGTAATTATTATGGACTTGGCCTCGTCTAAAACCACCAAGGATGAATGTATAATCCAGTAAAATCAAGTTTGTTGGTTCCTTGCAGTGAAGGAAAACATCTATGAGTGGAACTATGGGACGTCTCATTAAACAAAGAAAAAGAAGAGTTAGAGGGTTTTGGAAAGAGTAGAGTTCAAGTGAAGTGTGACAACTTAATGCAAAAAAAGAGATGCTTATGATAGGGTGAATATTAGGTCTAATACTGTAGAAATTGACCCAAAGGCCTATTTTCTTGGAAACTTGGAATGTTGTATTTGCAAACCCCTTTATTTGAAGTCCTCTATATATTTTTCAACTGGTTGTTGTTTCTATTCTCCTGCTTCTCTGGTTATATTATTATTATTATTTTTTGAACATTGGGGTGCAACATTGAGTGTCTGGATGTGTCCTCTTTATTCTAAAGGGTGTTTAAAGAGTTAACTGGTATGTCAGTTTGATCCTTTTAAGGCTTGTGTCAGGTTTTACCCAGAGTATTCAGCAAGCTCTTTCCTCTGGTTAGAAAGTCAGCTATCTTTCCTGGTACTTTGTGATCACCAGAATGTACATTTAGTTTACAGCACTTTGTTAGCTGTTTATGACATAGTTTGTTCAGTCTTGCTTTTTTTTTTTTCTCTCATGGGCAATTTAGTATTCAACCAAAAACAAAAAGATCTCTTGGCATATTTCTGGAGTTCCTTTATGTAGCTTTCTCGTTTTTGGCACTCTGGTCTTCAAATTCCCTCTACCTAAGCAGCCCCAATCTCCAGTCTTTGTTTCCTACACAGTTAAGACCATTACTTTCTCTTTGGATTCCACTTTCTTGTGCCCTACTTTGGAAAGTGCCTCCAGGCAAAAAGCCAGAGTGAATGTGGATCTTACCACTATGTATTCTCTTCTTTCAAGGATTAAAACCTTGTGGTATCTGTTAGCCACTTCTCCAAAATAATTGCTTCATATACTTTGTACACACATTGATATTACAAGTTTGTAGTTTAAAGCAGAAGGATAAGTTCAATTCCTGTCCATTACTTCATTATGGCTAGAACCTGCATCATCTTACAGAAATAAATGAATATGTATAGTAGAAGACCTCCCCATCTTTTGTAGGCCAAAGATATGACCAAAGGTACTGTCAGTATTTTCTTTAAAAGAAAACAATTTAAGGTCCTACGTACTACATAAAATAATGATGTTGGAAGCTCTAGTATTTCTATGCCTTAGTTGTGGTTGCACTAGTTTTATAAGTCATAAGGAATTTGATTTTTTAAGGAGTATTTTTCTTATGTGTTAAAACATCTTAAGTATTTTATGAAACTCATTTTTTCTAGGAATTTCTTATAAGTCTTGAAATTTGCTCGATACATAATTTTTACTGTTAAAGATAATAATGACATTTTTCTCTTCTTTTCTACACCTGCTTGCCTGCCAGTATTTCTAGTTGTGACCAAAAAAAGTTAGCTCATCTCTGTCTCAAATTGAGTTGAAATAGTGAATTAGAATAGTGTGTTTTGAGTTACAGTATTTTTAAATTAGGTTAAGAAATAATTCATTAGAAAGTGAGAGCTTTTTATTTTAGGTTATTTTTGAAAAGTAGATACAATGTTTTATGAATTGTCTTTCAATCTTTTATTGAAAACTTTTATAACAGTGTTTTTGTTTAATGAATTATATATGCAGTTTGTATTATTTTACAAATCTTGTTTTAGGGATAAGAACAATTAGATCCATTTTGAAAATGATTTTTTAATATATTTTTTTGCCAAGATTGTATTTGGGGATCTTGCATCTCAATGATGCAAGTATAAATTTTTTTTTGTTTTTTTTTTAGTCACATTGGATTTTATAATCTTAAAATTCTGTGTGCTTTATGGGGCTCCTGGGTGATTCAGTCAGTTAAGCATCTGACTCAATCTCAGCTCAGGTCTTGATCTAAGAGTCATGATTTCAAGCCTCATATTGGGCTCCATGCTGCTTACAAAAAAAAAGCTACTTACAAAAAAAATCCCCCCAAAACTGTGAGTAGATAATAAGCCATCTTTTATGAGTAGATAATAAGCCATCCTTTTTTTTTTAATAAGCCATCCTTTTCTGTTTTAGAATATTTCACATAAGAGAAGTTTGAACAGGCCACTTAAAATACACATTAAGCAAAATAGAATATTAAATTTCTAAATACCATTGTAACATTTAATTTAAATACTGTTTGTTCTTTTTAAATAACTACAGGTAATTTAGGGAGGTTCATCCCTGCCATAAAGTTGTGTGTAGCCTTAGAACGGAATGTGCAGTAGAGACAGAGAAAATCCTTAAAGTATTTTTTTTTTTTTTGGTCAAAGTAGATAACTTTGATTAATTTTTTGCAATCTCTTCTACGCAAAAAGTGCTATTTAATTTCCTGACTCCAAGTGAGAATGAAGTAGAGTTGTTAGGAAAATACCAAATTGTTACCTTCTTTTGGTAAATATAAAAAAAGGGGGTACTCTTGCAGTAAAAGATGAAAAGATTTTGTCTTTTCTTTTTCTTTCTCCCTTCCCTTCTCAATACAAATGCTTTTTGTTATTTCTGAGATTAACCCTTTAAGATAGAGTTTGTGAATATCTATTACATATTTTGCAGTTGACAAATTACAGTTCGAACCTCCTCTGAGAAAAGAAACAGAAGCACGGGATGAAATGGTAGGAATTATTACTTTTGAAGTACTTTACAAATTAAAATTTGAGAAAATTTGTAGTTAGGTATACTTTGACTAAGGAACAGTTATATACTCTTCTTTTTTTTAATTTTTTTTAATTTTTATTTATTTATGATAGTCACAGAGAGAGAGAGAGGCAGAGACACAGGCAGAGGGAGAAGCAGGCTCCATGCACCGGGAGCCTGACGTGGGATTCGATCCCGGGTCTCCAGGATCGCGCCCTGGGCCAAAGGCAGGCGCCAAACCGCTGCGCCACCCAGGGATCCCGTTATATACTCTTCTATGCAATAATTTTGATACTACATTTCACACATTAAAGTTTGAAAAAGCATATAGGTATATTTTGAATAGAGTACTATATATGGTATACTGTTTTAACCATTCATTTTGACCCTTCTGAGTCTTTGGAAGGATTTACATGAAGTTATTAAATGTATGAATTTGGGGACGCCTGGGTGGCTCAGTGGTTGAGTGTCTGCCTTCAGCTCAGGGCATGATCCTGGAGTCCAGGATCGAGTCCTACATCGGGCTCCCTGCAGGGAGCCTGCTTCTCCTTCTGCCTATGTCTCTCCCTCTCTCTTTCTGTGTCTCTCATGAATATATAAATAAATAATCTTTTAAATAAATAAATATATATATATATATATATATATATATATATATAAATTTGATGCTCAGTTTTAAGCTCTCAGGATCTTTTTTCTTATCAACTCTAGGTTTATAGTATATTTTTGCATTACCTTACTGGTTTTAATATTTGCTTGTTAATATAGCTGGTTTTTAAACTTTTGCTCTTATTTTGAGGTTACTATTTAGTTAAACCTTTCTTTATCTAAAAGGAAATAAGTAATAGAACAAGGTATTATTAGAGTTGCCTAGATGTTGTAACATTTATTTTTTCAGCTTTGGCAAAGTATAATTTTTAAAGGAATTGTCTTCTATTAATAGATCTCTTCATTCTTAACATTTGGCAGTAGTGCTCTTCTTACTGTATATATTTCCATGCCATTGGGAAAAAATAGCACCAATAATTTCATTATAGTTTAATAATAAGTGTAGTTTCCACACTAATGGATAAGTGATACAGATAATTAAATTATGTTTTTTTCTGTTTTATTTGGAATATACTAGCATTGGTAAAGAGGGATTGTTATTTCAAACTATGTAGTATGTTTATGGAACTCCTTAAGTATAAGTCAACTGATAATGAGTCATTGACCTAAATATGTCAAATGACAGCAACTGTAGCTGGAGATTAAAAAATTGATTCAATGCCAAGATGATTAACAATCATGACACTGAATATTTTCTTGAATCAAATAAGATGATTAATATCTGTTATAAAGGAACATTTTAAATGATTTTTGTACCTTCATAGGGAGTGTCATCAGACCCAAACTTTGTATTACAGTGGAATCCTTTTGTTGATGGTGCAAATACTGGCAAGTAAGTTATTTTTTAACTTAATAAGTATATTTTACTTGATTATATAAGAACAGTATTGGGAGGGAGTGATTTATTTTAATAAGTTGTAATTCTCATTCCTAAAGAAACTGTGCTGTGCCTTTTATCAGTGTAAATCTGCCTTTTTAATTACCAAAAGGTATCATGTGTTAATCATTAAAGTCTTTAGGCTTTTCTTCTTTAAATCAGAACTTAGTATATGTAATGTTAATTTTTTGAAAGAGGAGTTACATGATATCATGGGAAGAAATACTATAGGAGGAATTGGAAAGCCCCCATTTCCATCTCTGCAGTGTAGTTTCTTCATATTCTAGACCTGTCTTCCCTCAACAGTTAAGTTATAGAGCCAGCCTAGATGTTCCAAACCTGTTTGTGCACTGTAGTGGAAATACACATTTGGAAATACAAATTTCTGGGCACCCCCAAATTCAGTTTATAGATCTGGGGTTGGCAAACTATGACCTATAAGCCACATCTGACCCACTGCATATTTTTTGTGCAGTCTGCAAACTAGAATGGTGTTCAGATTTTTTAATAGTTGAAAAAAAAATCCAAAGAAGAGTGATATTTTGTCACATGTGAAAACCATATGAACATTTCAGTGTCCATAAAGGTTTGTTGGAACACAACATGCTTATTAGTTTATATATTATGTATGGCTGCTTTCACATTATAAAAAAAAGTTAAGTAGTTGTGACCAGTGTATAGACTGACGTCTATAATATCTATTATCTGGGCCTTTACAGAAAAAGTTTGCCAACCCCTGCAATAAGATGTAGTCTTTGGGACTAGAATCTAAGAATCCTAAAAGCTTCCTGATGGATTGCAATAACTGTGGATAAGTGTATGGAACCTAAAAGCTTCCTGATGGAATGCAATAACTGTGGATAAGTGTATGGAACCTAAAAGCTTCCTGATGGATTGCAATAACTGTGGATAAGTGTATGGAACCAGTGGTTCTCAAGCATTGATGTGCCTGGAGGATCACCTAAAGATTGGTTTTCCATAGGTCTAGAGGGTACATACAAAAGTTTTCCAGTGATGCAGATGTTTGCTGATATGCAGACCCCACTTAGGGTAGCTAAAGGGTTTGATGATATAGATTCATAGTGGCTTCCAGCTCTAAAATTCTGAATCGTGTTTTACTACTAAGTTTAATTTTTATTACATACTTCATATGTAAAGCATAACCATAAAGGAAAGACTTTGTATTCATTTTATAAAAATCTATTTTACAGTCCTACTAGTACAGTTTGACACAATGAGCTCTTAGGTCTTCCTATAGGTTTTAAAAATACTCTTCTTCATGATCTAATTGTCTTTTATAGCCCCTGAATATAAACATTTTAATGCACATTTGATGGAGGCTCTGTTTTATGTTATCGTTTATCACTATCTGAATTGCATGTTTCTCTCTGTGTTAGGTCAACCTCAAAACGCGCAATACCACCTCCCTTACCTCCTAAGGTGAGCTACTTAAAATTTTTGAATAAGTGCTTTTTAAGTAATACAATAATTAAATTAAAAAATGTTATTGAGGGATCCCTGGGTGGCGCAGCGGTTTGGCGCCTGCCTTTGGCCCAGGGCGTGATCCTGGAGACCCGGGATCGAATCCCACGTCAGGCTCCCGGTGCATGGAGCCTGCTTCTCCCTCTGCCTGTGTCTCTGCCTCTCTCTCTCTCTCTCTCTCTGTGTGTGACTATCATAAATAAAAAAAAAAAATGTTATTGAATTCGTTCAAAATTTTCTTAAATATATTTTACATAAATACAGTTTTCTTTAAGAAGTATTACAAAATATAAAGACTTCATGAGAAGTATAATATTTGAATAGCTATAAGAAAAGTAAAAATCAGTTATACACATTTAAGAAAATACTCAGCTGCATGGAGAGGAAATGGAAAGAGATCATCATTTATAATCCTCATTTTCTACTACAATTTGACATTTCATTGGATTCATACTTCATTAAGTGATTGCTTGTGTCTACTATTAAATATTTTGTGAATTGTTTATATAATTTTATCAGTTAAAATTAAAACTGTTTTGACTTAGGGATGATTAAATAAATCACATCGCAAGTTCTTAATTGTGTTGGGACAGTAATTCAACTCTTGTTTACTTTGTTTACCTAGCATAATGATTAAATTATATAGAAGAAAGGAAAAAAGGCAAAAGTCTTTGATGCATAATGATAATGGAGTGTTACTGTTTTATATCCAAATTTATTAAAGCACTTTTGTGTCTTATTATCACCAGCCAAGGATAAACAGCTACCCTGAAGACAACCTCCTAGATGAAGAAAAATCATCAACTGTAAAACGTTGTCCTGATTCAGAGAATAGAGCTCCCCAGTTTCTCCGAAGACAGAGTAGCCCAAGTTGTGGTCCTGTAGCTGAGACTTCCTCTATTGGTATGGCTAGCAGTATCAGCAGTCCTGGAGTGCATACAGCTAGATACTATGATCTGGGTAAATAAATCAAAGCAAAAACTGAAAAGAAAGCCATTTTCATATTTTAAAGAATGTCTTCAGTCAATCTTATAACTGTTTAAAGCTTTCTGAAGTTACTTTAAAATTCTACATGGATGGGCTATAAATAGAGTCAGTCCAATTCAACCAAATATGATAGGGTCTTAGAATGATGATATTCCTATCCTCCAGAAGTTCAGGATTTGTAGTAGAAGATACACCCATGTACCCATGACATTAGACAATTAGCTTGTATAAGTGTCTCATACAATAATTAACTATATGTAATACAAGATGAGACATTTTTAAGGAAGATAATGATAGGGAATAGAGGAAATGGGCCCTTGCAGAATATTAAACGGCTTGGTTGAGCCTTCATTAGGGGATTCAGTGCTGACAGGCATTCCTGATGAACAAGAAGGAATAAACAAGTGAACCATAAAAATCTGGATTGTATAGTCTAGTATAGAAGTGTGGGTTTTTGAAAGATATATACTGGGAGATAGGAATTGAAAAGTAGATTGAAGTCCACTTATGAAACGCCTTGAATATCAGCATAGCATTCGTATAGCATTTCTTCTCACAATATGGAAAGACATTTCGTGTTTTCATGGATTAAACCACTGATAAAGATGCAAAGATGCAGCGCTACCTCTGTAGAATCTAGAGAAAGACACCAAAGATACTGGGACTCATCTGCCAATAGAGAGTATTTCCCAGTAAAGGATCACTCAAATGGAATTATAAGTATTGGGAGAAAAGGAAAATTATTTTTCATGGAAAGTACTTATTTGTATGTTAATTTGGCTCTTAACCATGATTCTTCTTAGGAAATGGTGATGGTATTTCAAAACTGATTAGTGAAAATACAGAAGGATCAGCACAAGCACCACAGTTACCACGGAAAAAGGACAAGCGAGATTTCCCAGTAGGTATAACAGGTGTTTGGTGATTAGTTGTAACTATTACCATGTCCATCATATAAGAGGCAGTGTCTGTTTTGGTGGGCAGGGGGGCATAGTCTGTTTAATTCAAGAATTTGAATAACTGAATTTCCAAATGTAGAGGGGTTTTTTAATGCTTAAGAGATCTTATAGCATTAAAAATTATTTTTCCAACAGAAACCAGCCATCAATGGCCTTCCACCCACCCCAAAAGTGCTGGTAAGGAATATTTCTATGTAAACCACTTGCCAATTTTCATCTCTTAGATGCAGCAGATTTTTTATTTGTTGTTAAGTATCTTGAGGTATTGAAAAGAAGAATTCACAAAATACAAAGGCATTAAATGCATTTTAATATACCATGGATCAAATCATGTACCTTAATTTGAGTGACTTGGTTAAAATTTGGAGAGTTTCACTTTTTGTAAATATGATATGGCAGTTGGGTTCTCAGATTAGCCTTCAAAGGCCAATTTAACTTTAATTTGATATCAATAGTACTGTGTCCTCTTCATAAGGTGAGTTAGGTATCTTTCTACCCCTGAAGCCGTTTTTCACATTGAACTATACACAGTGAAAAGGAACAGGGAGGCTTATGTTAATGCATGTTCTCTGGCTCTTCAAGGTGGTTCAGCCAATCATGAATGGGATGCTCTAAAAATTGTACCTTTTTATTCAGTAAAAGTCTAATATGTGATGTAAATATTAGACTTTTTGTCTATTTACTATTAATGGAATTATACTGCAATTATAATCACTATGATGTCTCTCAGAAATATCATCCATTGTTTCACATTATTAAATGTTAGTCCTAAAGATAAGTGGTGACTTAGAATTCCTAAAATGTATCACTAACATATGTAGATGTTTTGATAAATTTGACATTTTTGCCCTGAAATAGTGGATTACACACGGAAAGAATAGATTCTTGGTAGAAGGTGTTAAGCAATATTAAAATAGGAATTTTCTTTTGTAATGAGACCTTAAGCATTTAAATAAGAGTCAGTTTAGCATTTTGTAATAATCTTAGCTATTTTCCAAGACTATATAAGTAAGTCAATATTTCTTTCTTTATAAATAAGATGGGAGCATGTTTTTCCAAAGTTTTTGATGGCTGCCCTTTGAAAATTAATTGTGCAACATCCTGGATACATCCTGATACAAAAGGTAACATTTCTGAACCTTTACATACAATCTCTAATAAAATATTTGTTATGGGGAAGGATATTTATGGTTGGTGAACTGAGGTTGTTTACTTTAAAACTATGATTTTAGAGATTAAATAGTGCAGGTACCCACAACAACCTAAATAGGTAAACAGAGTTTTTGTTTAAGGTATTAGAATTTAGAGTACACAGGAAATTTTCTGATTAAAAGAGACTGAATAGAGATCATAAGTGATTACAACCATGCTTAGGAATTTTCTGTTCTATAAAAAGACAATATTAGGACAATTGATAATCTCAATCAGTAAAATCATTAGATTAGGTAATATTATCGTTTCAGTGTTAATTTCCTGATTTTGATCATTGTACTATGGTTATGTAAAACTTATTCTTTTTTTTTTTTTTAGGAAATGCACACAAATATTTAGGAATAAATGGATATTGTGTTTGTAATTTAAATAGTTCAGAAAACAAAAAAAAGTATATGGAGAGTGAAAAAAGGATAAAGCAAAATTAGTAAATGTTAATATTTGTGGAATCCATGTTTTAGGAAGATATTCAGGAATTCTTTGTACTCTTACAACTTTTCTGTAAATCTGAAATGATAGCAAAATAACAAAGTTTATTTTTAAAAATCTATCCTGTATATTTTTAAAGTGAGGAAGCCTAATACATAGAGGTAAAAAATTTGGAATCAAATAGATCTGGGTTTGAATTTCTGTTCTTTCATTATCATATAACTTGGGAAAAATACTTAACATCTCTGGTTCTCAGTGTGATCATTTATAAACAAGTACTCTTAATACCTAGCTAACAGACCTCTCTGAGTGTCTAGCAATTAGCAGATAGCCATAAAGCAGTAAAGAGTGTTCAAGAAATGTTCGTTTCCACTTTAACACCATAATAAAGACAAGTCCTATGATTATGTACGTTAAATACTATTGTTGGAAAGTATGACAGATAAAAAAAAAAATTTAAGATTTTATTTATTTGCAAGAGAGAGAGAGCGCACAAGAGTGGAGAGGGCTAGGGATAGAACAAGAAGCAGACTCCTGCTGAGCAGGGAGCCAGATGGGACACTGATCCCAGAACCCTGGGATCATGACCTGACCCGAAGGCAGACGTTTAACCAACTGAGCCACCCAGGCACCATGAAAAAAATATTTTTATCAGTAAGAAGATGTTTTTTTGAGTGCTTATAACTTTATTTTGATATAATTTCAGACTTACAGAAAAGTTAGAAAATACCACAGTGCAAGAAACTCCTCTATATTCAGAATCTTCAGTTGTTTCTATTATCTACCTGTATGTGCAATTTTTCTGAATTACTTGAGAGTGCTTCCTTATACTTCATTTTGTGTTTTCTAGAAACAAAAATCATATCCACAATACAATTGTGAAGATCAGGAAATTTATTTATTTATTTTATTTTTATTTTTTTTTTTTATTTTTTTAGATCAAGAAATTTATAATTGATGTAATCCACAGTTTATATGTATGCATTTTTAAAGTTGAAGTATAATTGACATCATATTGAAATTATTGTCTCAAGAATACTCTTTATTGTCTCCCTCTTCCTTTTTCCCCAGTCCAACAATATCCAATTCAAGATCCCATGTTTCATTTAGCTACCACTTCTCTTTAATCTCTTCTAGCCTGAAACATTTCCTCACCTTTTCGTTCTCTCTCTTGATCTCGACATTTTTGAGGCTATTTATTTTGTAGAATGTCCCTTAATTTGTGTTTGTCTGATGAGTCCATATGCTGAGATCAGGTAATGTATTTTTGATGGGAATATGAAAGAAATGTTATTGTGCTCTTCTCAGTGCATCTTATCAGAAGGCACATTCTATCAGCTTGTCCAAATACTAGTTCTTAACATTGACCTCTTGGTTAAGGTAGTGTTCGCTAGTTTTCTCCATTGTCAGTTGCTATTTTTCCCATTCTAATTGCTTAGTAATTGCTTAATTTCCTAAGCTAATTAATAAGTAGTATGGAATACACTTAGACTCTGTAAATATCCTCGTGTTCATTAGACTTTTCATCAACTGCCTTTAGCATTTGTGACAGTTCACTGACAGTCCATTGAAATCTTTAGACATTTCCCTTCTTTCCCATTTTTTTGTGTACCTGTATTAGTTTGAACTTCTGAATTATTTTTTTATTCAGTGAGATATGATCCACCACTGTTTTTTATTTTAGCACTTAAATTGTCCCAGAATTTTTGAGCAGTGGGAGTTCCTATGTTCTTTTATTTAATACTCATACTTGATCATTTCCTTAGTTTCTGGCACAGCAAGATTTTTAGGCTCATGTTACACTTTCCTTGCCTCAGATTGGAATCAATTTTTTTCCAAGCAGCTCTGCTTCTGGTTCTTTTTTTAGTGGAAGGTAGTATTTAGGAACCAAGATCTGGACACTCAGTGTGCTTGTCATTTCTGGTGTGTCATGATTTATAATTTCTATGTAATTTATAGTTTCCTTCTTCTAAGAGTATTTAAAATATCTAGCAAAAATAGGTATAATGAAAAATCTTACGACATGATAATTATATTGGAAGGAAGAATTACATAAATTAAGATAAAGCCAGAGTGAATGAGGAACAGAGAATATATCTGCTTTAAAAAATGAGATCAAAATTGGAGAAAGGAGGGATGCCTGGGTGGCTCAGCAGTTGAGTGTCTGCCTTTGGCTCAGGGCGTGATCCTGGAGTCCCAGGATCGAGTTCCACATCAGGCTCCCTGCATGGGGCCTGCCACTCCCTCTGCCTATGTCTCTGCCCCTCTCTGTGTGTGTCTCTCATGAATAAATAAATAAAATCTTTTTTAAAAATTGGAGAAAGGGGTAATGAATATGGCATGAATTTTAGAGAACAGTTTTTCTTTGGCTGGGTGGGTGGCTGTCTGACTCTTAATACCATTAAAGGGGCGCCTAGGTGGCTCACTCTCTTAAACAATCCGACTCTTGATTTTGGCTCAGGTCTTGATATCAGGGTCCAGGAGATTGAGCCCCCCCCCCTTTCAGGCTCCGTTCTCAGTGGCGAGTCTGCAGGAGATTCTTTCTCTCCCTCTGCCCCTCTTCCCATTCCTGCACTCTTCATCTAAATAAATATTTTTAAAAAGCATTCAAGTAAAAAAAATAAATAAAAGCATTCAAGTATAAAGCCATTTTATTGAATTATTTCAGAAAATGATAGTAAATTCTGGTGATTTATTTTAACTATTTTAGATCAGTACATTATTTTTGGAACTGAAGATGGTATTTACACACTGAATCTCAATGAGCTACATGAGGCAACGATGGAACAGGTAATTTAGGAGTTTTAACTCAAGAAATTAGTTTGGGTATATTGAATAAAAAATCTTTTAATTTTAAATCAATTTATATGGGCCTCAGTTTTAATTTTTATGATTTAAATATTTAAGGAAGTGAAATTATACTCTTTACATGTTCATGTTACAAGATTTTTTTTTCTATAAAGCTTTGGTAATTTACTAAAATAAAATATTTTTATACTACTTCAGACTTTTGGAATTTGGAAGTTAAAATGTAAGGGAATAAAAATTTTAATTACCTTCTTTTTTCTTTATAGTTATTTCCACGGAAATGTACTTGGCTATATGTTATCAATAATACTTTAATGTCACTATCAGGTATGTATATAACAAAAATAATATGAAAAGTAAGCCATAGACAAGCAGAGAAATGTAATTTTTTTTAATTGAAGTATAGCTGACACAAGAGAAATGTAATTTTAATATGCAGCATTTTAAAATGTTTGTTATTTTGGGTAGTTATAGTAACGTTGAGACTTGCAGATGTTTTCTACCAACTTAGACTGGAAAGAAACTTTGAGAAAGGACCTGTGCTCAGTTAAGGTAGCACTTCCCAAACCTGGCCAGGATCTAAACACCTGAGGAATACCCCAGTGATTGTCACCTGATGCCATCCCCTTCCACTCAGACTCCTCCCTGTCAACTATCCCAGCATCATTTGCCTTCCGTTGAGAATTAACAGGTGAAGGGAAAGAATCAGAGGATATAGCTGCTTTCTTTCTTTCTGATCTTGAATCAGCCTCAATTTTCTTAACTGTAAAATAAGAATGATGGTAACAATACCAGCCTTAGGAGGCTGCCATGAGGATTAAATTTAGAGATGATAGGGAGTGCTTAGTAACCAGTGAAGGCTTACACCAGTGTTTGCCAACAGCATTCAAGTTATCATGGACCAGATGGTATAACCATTTTTGGACTGATGTTTTAAACTCTTACAAACAAGTGTATTCCAGAGCAGCTTATTATAATTGTGATTTTGTGTTTTTCTTTTTTGGTGGTGTTGATGGGAGGGGTAGGTGGTATTGGGGGCTTTTTTTTTTTTTTTTTCAATTCTTACCCACCAAAACCTCTTTTCTTAAATTTTGGATTTAAGTGACTACCTGGAGGTTTGCCACTCATTTTCATTCTGCTAGAGTACAAGAAAGTTGATTAATTGTTTCTCTCTGTCTGTTAATAATCCTAATGCTATCAACTATTAAAATAGCATTCACTCCTCTCTCTACTTAGAATAACTAATTATTTTACTATTTCTTAAATTTTTTTCAATTCTTTTTTCAGTTCTTCTCTATGTATTATATATATTATGAGTATTATATCCCAGCTCTTATTTACTATACTGTCAGGCTTTTTGGTATTAATTGTACTTTTTGGCTACTTAGGCTTTAAAGTATCAGTGTTGATATACAGCCTTACTGATAGGCAGAACATTACATTATGAATGGTGGCCTAATTTAAGAAATGTCATTTTTATAATTTTAAGTGTATCTGTATAACTTGAACTCTTCCACTAACCATGCCTTATAGAGATTCTTCAGAAATTTGTATATTTGAGCTGATGACAGTGTTTACAAAGAACACATTATTTGATTTTACATAAATAACTTCTAAAAAGCTGGGGTCCTTGAAAAAGTATTTAACTGTTTTGATTTTAATTATGCTTCCCCCCCCCAGTTTTTTTTTACTCTCATTTACCAAAATATTTATACTATTATGAAAATAAACTTAAACTCAATTCGGTTTAATAATTCTGAATTGCATACATATAAAATTACTTTCCTCTGACTCTCTTAACTGTTTTTATCCCTACTCGTACCTGACCTTTAGATATAAACTTAAAATCCACACAGAAAATACATTTTATATATTTACAAAATAACTATAGGAAAATGGGAAAGTTAGCCTATAAATTAGTTCTCTCCATATTCTAGTTAAAATTACCCATAAAAGTGAATGAAAGTAAATAACAGAGCTCAATAGGAGAAAACCTTATCCTGCTGAGTGTCTGCATTTGTGTGGATGTGCACACATCTATGTACATTTGTGTTTAGCTGCCTACCTAGCTAACAGAGAGGGGAATGGAGAGAGAAAGGGTGTGGTATGGTATTAAGCAGAATGTTTACATTCTTAGAAAATACAGAGGATTTTGTTGAGGATAGGACTCAAAACTGTATCCTAAGACTATATCATATACAGTTGACCCTTGAATAATGGAGAGGTTAAGGTCGCTGAGCCCCAGAACACTTGAAAATCCCTGTATAACTTATGACTCGCCAAAAACTTTTTTTTTTTAAGATTTTATTTATTTATTCATGAGAGACACAGAGAGGCAGAGACACAGGCAGAGGGAGAAGCAGGCTCCATGCAGGAAGCCCGACATGGGACTCGATCCCCAGTCTCCAGGATCACCCCTGGGCTGAAGGCAACGCTAAACCATTGAGCCACCCGGGCTGCCCTCTCCAAAAACGTTTAAAGATTTTTATTTACTTATTCATGAGACACCGAGAGAGAGAGGCAGAAACATAGGCAGAGGGAGAAGCAGGCTCCCTCCGGGGAGCCTGATGTGGGACTAGATCCTCAGCCTGATGTGGGACTAGATCCTAGGACTCCAAGATCATGACCTGAGCCAAAGGCAGACGCTCAGCCACTGACCACCCAAGTGTCCCAACTCTCACCAAAAACTTAACTACGAATAGCCTAATGTTGACTGGAAGCCTTATCAATAACATAAATAGTTAACACATATTTTATATGTTATATATATTATATGCTGTTTTTTAAAATAAAGTAAGCTAGAGAAAAGAAAATGTTATTAAGAAAATCATAAAGAAAATACATTTACTGTACTGTATTTATTTTTGAAAAGGTCCATGTATAACCAGACCCACAGAGTTCAAACTCATGTTCAAGGGTCAACTGTTTATTTATTTGTTTGTTTTCTAATAGTAAAATGATAAATACTGTTCTGTATTGTTATAATACCATACCATGTATAATAAGGAGTCAGAAGATGTTTCCCTTATCTCCCTCTTCTTAACATATCTGGGTTTTGATTATATGGAAATTGTAGCCCCATTGTCCTGGTATTATGGCATATAATATTAGTTTGCTTTTCTTTTCTTAGTATTTTAATCTGTTGCAGTAAGAATTCATTCACAATTTTTAATCCAAGGTAATTTGATAAATTCTTGATAAATAGGTCTATCCCAGAGAAATAATGTAATAGAGTTTTACAGAATTTCCCATGTTATACTAAAATATTCATATGCATATCATTATAAATCAGTCCCCTGAACAACAGTGTTGAACAGTTTTTCTTTCTGTGCTGGCTTCATTAAGGCTTATAAGTATTCTGTCCAGATCACCTATTAGTTAAAATATATATAATTTGTATATTATGAAATGCAATTATCTACTTAAAACTGTTATCTTTCAAAATGTATTAACTGTTTTTTTTATGTGTTTTGCTATTTTACTTGGCTTTTTGAACATTTCTGGACTCCATATTTTAGAAGGTAATTATGTTTTCTTTTGCTTGAAGATTCTTGTTTTTCCACTGTAAAGGATCCTAATAAAAGTAGCATGTTTCTCTTTTACAGGAAAAACCTTTCAGCTCTACTCTCATAATCTGATAGCTTTGTTTGAACAAGCCAAAAAACCAGGATTAGCTGCCCATATTCAAACCCATAGGTTTCCAGACCGTATACTACCAAGGTACAAAATATTTTACTTCTGTTGGGGGTGAGGGGCATTAGTGTTTATTTTTAAAATAGCCAGTTTTCTTTGCCCACTAAAAAACCTGCTTTGTTCTAATTTTGAAAGGTAGTTTACACTAAAGTGTACTTCATATAGAATTCAAAAGATCAGTGTTTCCTTAGATTGGCTGTCCAGGAGAATAACCTTTAGAAGTTTTATAAATACAGATTCCCAGGCCCTCTATCAGTCCTAGAGAATCAGGCAGTTTGGGGGTCAGAGTCTAAGATTGGTTTGGTAAAGCTACTTGACTGGATCTGGTGCAACCAGTTCACAAGTCCCATTGTCTGGGAGTTGCTGCAGTAGAGTACATTTATATTGTCCTGTGTTACAGAAAGTTTGCTTTAACAACAAAGATTCCTGATACTAAAGGCTGCCACAAATGTTGTATAGGTGAGTAAATGCTATTTTTAAAACTGGATAACTAGAACTGAACATTTTTAAAATTCTTTTTTTTTTTCATTTTTAAAATTCTTTAAGACTAAAGTCATAGTATCAAATAGGAAGGAAGGTAGGCTTTATAGTTGTTTTTAATAAGGAGTTAAGGGGCCGTTGAAGCACAAGACTGTGTGGCAGGACAGGGCATAAAAATGTTTGGAGATAATAGCCCTAATGCTTTCCCAGAGCATGGTGTTCCTGGAGTTTTTTAACCATAGTCCCTGAGGCTGTGTCTCGTTAATATCCTAGTTTACCATTTATTACTCACCATTTATTTAACACCTTCAATTATGAAACCATTACTGCTTAGTGCTTTATAGACATTATAGGAGTTTAGCTAACTATGAAGTTAGAGGGAACAATCCACACAAGAGACCACCCTTACTTCTGACACCAATTGCAAGTTTGGGAAGTTTCCAAAACCACCCTCATGTTAAAAAAAATTCTCTAGAAGGACTCAGAAGTCACTGAAAGTGGTTATACTCACAGTTACAATTTATTACAGAGAAGGGATAGAAATTAAAATCAGCCAAAAGAAGACGAGCATAGAGCAGAGTCTAGGAATAGTACCAAACATAGTTTCTGTTGTCCTCTACCCATGGAATAATAGTGTTAATTTTCTGGCAGTGATATGTGACAGTACACATGGAGCATTGCCATCGAGGGAGCATACTCCAACCTCAATACTCAGGAGATTTTATTAGAGCTCCATCACACAGGGATGGTTGTCCACATGACTGATCTCAATATCGAGTCCCTCTGAAGGTCATTTGACACTGCATGACCCAAAGCCCCTATCCTAAATCACATTGTTAGTCTTTTTGGCATGCCTATCCTTCACCGCAAGGATGTCCAGTGTTGCAAGAGCCCTCACCCTAAATCATAGTGTTAGATTATACCTCTTATTCAGTGACCCAAGGCCCTAGGCAAACAAAAATACTCCCATCAGACATGACATTCCTGAAGTTTAGAGATTACCTCCCAAAGGGGGGAAGAAAGGCCAGACCTCTTTTGGGGTAAGGTTAAACTTTATACTATATAATTATTTTATCTCATTTAACCCTCAAACAACCCCATGATATTTGTTACATCCCTAGTAAGAAACAGAACCTAGGATCAGACCCAGTCCATGACTTCAGATCCTGGGCTCTTAAATTCCTATTTTATTCTATTTGTTGAAGTAATGAGCTTATTCATTGATCTTCATGCTGCATATAGTTCCATAGAATACTTTCTTAGTTATAAATAAATTTCATGAGTATTTTTCTAGGGAGAATCAGGTCCATATCTGTTCTCAGATTCCCAATATCTGCAACTCAAGAAAGGTCTAAAAGCTTACAATCTAAGATAACAAACTCATAAATATATTAAGATAGAGTTTATTTGCAAATAACTACTCTTATAGTCAATATACATAGTTGTTGATGAGAGTCAAATTGAGAAGGAAAGACCAATATGAGTTTTTGTAATTTTAAGTAAAGAAAGTTACATCTTTAATAAAATGTAAAATAGGGGATCCCTGGGTGGCGCAGCGGTTTGGTGCCTACCTTTGGCCCAGGGCGCGATCGTAGAGACCCGGGATCGAATCCCACGTCGGGCTCCCGGTGCATGGAGCCTGCTTCTCCCTCTGCCTGTGTCGCTGCCTCTCTCTCTCTCTGTGACTATCATAAATAAATAAAAATTTTTTAAAAAATGTAAAAAAAAAAAGTAAAATAGTTTATTTTCATCTTAAGTAGATAACTATAAACTACTACAACAGAGATGAAATCATAGATTATTTCAGTTGCTTCCTAGACCTTCTGTTTCAGTCAGTTTACTTAAAAGACAGCTCTTTAGATTACATACTAGTTTAGGTGTTTTAGTGACCTAAAATACTGTCACTTGTAGAAGGTTCCTATGTTTAACAACCTGGTCTATTAAAGATGTTTAGAAGTAAATGTATATAATTTAAATTTGAGATAAGAAAGGGAAGGAGTAATAAACCCAAAAGAAAAAACATTATCTTTCTTATTCTTATCCTTGTGAACAGAAACAATGATTTTAATTTAGCAGCTAAGTAATTACTTCAAATAGTTTCTTCTTCAATCCATATTTTGGTTCAATGGCAAGCCATATTTCATTGTTTTTTCCATGTATCAGCACTGCCTTTATTTATTTATTTTTTTTAGCACTGCCTTTATAAAATTTGAGTTAGCTCTTAGATGAGCATAGCTCAGTTGTTACTTTTAATGAACTAAACTAATTATGTGTTCATATCAAGGTATTCAGGGTTTCAGTTGTGTCTGGTTTCTTTCTTTCCAGTCAGAAACCCTTACACAGGACATAAATACCTCTGTGGAGCTTTACAGTCTGGAATTGTTTTACTTCAATGGTATGAGCCAATGCAGAAATTCATGTTGATAAAGGTATATATGACTCTGTTTATAGTTTTCTTTTTTAGAAAACATTAGTGGTATAACTGAAGCTAAAATTATATTACCTTGAGGTGCCTGGGTGGCTCAGTCAGTTGAGTGTCTTGACTCTTGATTTCAGCTCAGGTCATGATCTCAGTGTTGAAATCGAAACCCTCCTCAGGCTCTGCACTGAGCATAGAGCCTGCTTAAGATTCTCTCCCCCTCTCTGTCTGCCCCTCCTCCCCCTCTCCCTATCTAAAAAAAAATTAAAATAAAATGTTTAAAATTATATGATATCAATGCTACTATCTAGGGTCAGCACATTTATAATTATTTATGGATGTTTACTTAGTTTAGGGTTTTTTTGTATTCTTGTTAAGATTTCCTCTTATGTTAATAAGCTTACAGAAGCATCACAGAAAGATGATCTGGCCAATTCTCTAAAACATATTTTTTAGAAAACTCATCCTTATCATGATCATTTTAGGGGTAATCCTTTTTTAGAAGTAGATCAATCAAGGAGGAAATGAAAGCCTATCTGTTGGCTTTGTTCAAAAGTATGAATGGGGAGATTGTTTCTAAATTATACTTCTGTTGTTTATTTTTTGTAGCACTTTGATTTTCCTTTGCCAAGTCCTTTGAATGTTTTTGAAATGCTGGTAATACCAGAACAGGAATATCCTATGGTCTGTGTAGCTATTAGCAAGGGCACCGAATCAAATCAGGTTGTTCAGTTTGAGACAATCAATTTGAACTCTGCATCTTCATGGTTTACAGAAATTGGTGCAGGTAAGTGTTTTTAACCTTATGTTAAACTGTTGATGCTTTTGCCTATAAAAAAGCAGAATAAGCATGGTCTGGTTCAGAGTCAATCAATATAGTTTCCCAAGTGAGTCCAGAGGAACATGTACATATTATTTATGATCTCTATTTGCCTGAGGCAACTGATACAAATTATTTTTTCAAGGAAAATTGTAACGATTCCTGACATATAAAAGTCTTAATTGTTATCAGTTAATTTTTTAACTTACTAAATAATTAAATTTTCTAAGATATTTTTCACATTTTATCAGCTTCTCAAGCAGAGATTTACCTTCTTTCCTATCAGCTTTCTCCCCAACACTTTCTACAATCATTAAAAACAAATGCTTTTCAGCTTTTGCTCATTTATAGGCTGAATTACAAGAATTCTTTATACAATCCAGCTACTGAAGTTAATGTAGAACCATACCAGTGTCACTTTGAGAATAAGAATCAATATGAACCAGTGGCGTCTTGATAAATGTTTAACAACAGGTACTTGAGGTGCAAAGAAGCCTGGTTTGTAGTGTTTTTCAGTTTGTGGGGCGTAAATATTCCCATCAAGAGAATATTTCAAACTACCAACCTGATGTCGTGTGGCTCACAAAATTCCTGAAAATTTAACAACCGAGTACAAGCCCAGTTCCAGCATGCACTGGACTATCTATGATTGCTCTCTTTATGGACCAAGTCATGATTTACATTAAAAGATTGTATTCTGTACTCTCCCACCTCTACCTACACTCCACCTTTCTTCTGAATTTATTGTTTAAATGGTTTTAGTTGGGTTATAAGTACCACTTCCTGTATAGCTAACAGAAAGGTGTCAATGACATTTATTATCATGAAATATAAGCAGCCCAAACAGAAGCATGTTTCTATTACGTAGTTACTGCTAAAAAAAAAAGAGTTACAGATCAGTTTATTTAAAAACCAAGATCATTTTTGGCAGACAGCCCCAACTTTCCTTTTTTTTCTGATTAGTATATAATGGTAGTATGGAGCAAGTCATTTCATACAATGATCTGTGTTGGCAACCCCTTTCTTTTGTATGATCTATGAAGAGATTTCATTGCTCAGGGTAGACATTTAGTTAGTCCTCCTGTGAATTTGGGGGTGGGGGCTTTGAGGTGTTTTGTTGTTGTTGTTGTTGCTTTGTTTTTAAATGCCTAAGGGTACTATTCTATTCAGTTTTAACATTAAGGCAGACCCAAAATTACTTTCTGAGGAGAGCCAGGACTCTGCTTAAGGGTAATCATTCAAATCACCCTCCTGCAGAAGTTGTACTATTAGCATTAGCCTTCTCTATCTTTGCAAATGATGTTAATCTACCTCCCATCTGTGTTTCATTATTGAGGTCAGGCCTGGAATTGGCAACATTGTAACAGTTAAAATGAACTCCTAAGACTCTTTCAGTCTCAGTGTGATTTATAATTGCTCTATCTTTATTTCCAAGGATGATACTTAACATATTATCAGCACTCAGTATTTGTTGAATAAATGCATGTATATAGATCTACTGAGGGAAACTATATTTTAGAGTGTTGCCCAAGGGACCAACGGTTTATCAGTTCTGTAGATCTAAATGCTTCCCTTGGTATGAGCTTTTTGGAAGGTCCACAAACACCCCAAAGTAATATATAAAACTTTGTGTTTATGTTCAAATGTACAGTTTTTAAGGGAGAGGATCCATGGGCTTCCCAAAGAGATGTTATTAAAAATGGCTGCTCTAAATTATCTAAAATCTTTTCTTCAATTCAGCTAGACCATTCAAGCAAACTGAGTGCCTAAAATGAATTGTTTTACCAAAATGTTTTACAAAAATGTCATCACATCTGTTAGCAGAGCAGCCCTGTGAATATCAGCGAAGTTATGAAAGTTGCTTCCTGCAAAGATGTTATTAACAATATTGTTGATTATCTTACTCTCTGTTCTCTTAATAAAGGAAGTCCCACTTAGGGACACCTGGGTGGCTCAGCGGTTGAACGTCTGCCTTCAACTCAGAGCGTGATCTTGGAGTTCTGGGATCGAACCCCACATTGGGCTCCTGCAGGGAGCCTGCTTCTCCCTCTGCCTATGTCTCTGCCTCTCTGGGTCTCTCATGAATATATAATTTTTTTTTTTTAAAGGAAGTCCCACTTACACATACAACCCCAACACCAGGAAAGTTTCTCTCTGATCATAGTTTCATTATTCTTTTTGCTTTTTCATAATTACTGACTTATTTTTATCTCAGATGTTGATCTGGCTTCCATCCTCCCATTGGCTACTATAAAATACACAGCAAAATCTAGTCACTGTATAGCATGCATTTAGTTTCTTTCCCATATTTACCTTTGGCTTCATTTTAAGTTTGTTTAACTCACCTTTCTATAACTACCTGAGGTATCCATTAAATACAAAGTGGGAGTTTTTCTCAAGCTCACTTAGCAATGCTTAGGACTTAGGTTTGTTCTAAGTTGACCTACATACAGTTTTTGAAAGGTAACATAATTACAAAATAAAACTTCTGTGCTAATTTTAAAGACTAGTTTTAAATTACAGAAAAAAATTCAGAATTTGTGTTTCTTTTTTAAGCTCTGGTTTTTAAAGCATATAGAAGTTATAGAAAGCTAACCTTGTTTTTTTCCCCTTCCAAGGCAGCCAACAGTTAGATTCCATCCACGTAACACAGTTGGAGAGAGATACCGTTTTAGTGTGTTTAGATAGTAAGTACTATTTTAAAGTTTATTCTGAGTATACTACTTGATATAGTAGATCTTTTCAAAAAAATAATAGATCTTTTCATGGAATTCTATTAAAATATAATTCAAGATTTTCACTTTTTCACCTTAAAGTGGCATTTTTTTTAATTGATGAAAAACCTAAATTGGCTACAGATACAGTAGTTAATTGATCTGTTTGTTAATACTATTCTCTGACTTTTTCTTTTTCTTGTTTGACCTACTTGGAAACATATTAGGAGTTTGCCATAATCCTGGGGTAAAATTTTGTATAAAACTATTCTGTACAAAACTATTCTGAGAGTTTTTTCCCTACTTCATTCTAATTAATGGAAAAAATAGAAGATTATACTAGTATGGTCACTTTGTCATATAACATGAACTTTTGGAGTCCTGTAAAATGAGAATCTAATGTACAGACAGATTTGATACCTTTACCTGCTAGTCATGTTTTTTTTTTTGATGCAGGAGATAGATTATTGTATTGTTTTAAGTATATATTATACTATAATCAGTGGAGAAGCAGAAAAAACTTCAACAACAGGAATCATTTCAATTTTCAAACAAAGAAGTCTGATTCTTAAAACCCGCCTTATTTTTATGCAATAAATCATACAAGGTGAAATTCATCCAGACCTACAATTATACTTGAAACTTGGCAATTATTGCTACATTTGATCCAGTCCAATATTTTTTAAATGACTGAACTTGCCCATAGGTGATCAGGGTAATTTTTAAAATTGTTCAACTGATTAATTTGCCTGTATTTTTGTCCAAATTTCTGTTCTCTGAAAAGTTCTCTGGTGGCCATGCCTTATAGGGTCATAAAGATCATCTAATATTAAAGACAAGAAAACTGGGATCCCTGGGTGGCGCAGCGGTTTGGCGCCTGCCTCTGGCCCAGGGCGCGATCCTGGAGACCCGGGATCGAATCCCACGTCGGGCTCCCGGTGCGTGGAGCCTGCTTCTCCCTCTGCCTATGTCTCTGCCTCTCTCTCTCTCTCTCTGTGTGACTATCATAAATAAATAAAAAAAAAAAATTTAAAAAAAAAAAAAAAAGACAAGAAAACTAAAACTCAGTTTCATTCACCCATCATCCTTTAAGTACTTCTGTTTCTTTGAATACTGGTAAGGTTGGAGTATTATTCTGTTACCTTTAAGTGAATTTGATAAATTCTTTTTTAACCAAACAAGTGGGAAGTTCAGTACTGATTAAGCAAATAATCAGAGTTTAATATTAATAATGTTGAACCTTTAATGCTGAAATCCCTAAAAACCTTCTGAGTCATCTAAGGAAAATAAATTGCACTTAGTTTTCATTTTGTTGATTTATGTATTTTATCAAAAAATATTAAAAACCTTTGATTAAATAGGTTCTCCATTTCTTATTTTTCAAAGTAAATGGAAAGGTGACTTTCTTGAGTTTTTTAAGGTTTTTTTAAAGAAGCAGAATGAGACTTTAAAAATGAGTTGTCAACTATACAGTATAAATCAGTTTTAGTAAGCAGCAGTAGAGATAGGCCTATAATCATAAATCATGGTAGACAGACAAGAAAGTAATGCAGAAAAAAAAAAAAAAAAAAAAGTAATGCAGAGAGAAGGTGTTTTCCTAGTCAGAGCTAAAGATAGTTAAAAACAAATAGATGAAAAATAGATTTTTGTGTACCCACCATCCCAGAAGAAATTACGACCCTTGAGAAGTACTATTTGTTGCCCCTGTGTACCTCTGTATGATATTATTCATATACTAAAGTTATGAGTTACTACAAATATTATTTATCATATGTTATATAATTTGTAAGGGAATAAATCAACTTTGATTGCTAAGTACTTGCCACTAAGGTCGCCACTTTGAAACATCATGCTTTTCAAAAATGAGAATGTAAATGTTCAGTATATCCTAAAGAGAAAGAAAAAGGAAAGGAAAAAATAGCAGTAGAATTGCCATTTACTAACTTTTATATTTTATAACACAGTTTTATACATACTAATGACTGTTTTTCAGTGGCCATACTTGAATCATGATAAATAGTTGAACTTTATTAAGAATATTTGCTCTGTATCCATATAAAATCCACATATCAAGTTACATTAAGTTTTGCATTAAGTTTTGCATTAAGATTTGCATTTCCCGTTTTGACTTGCTTTTTCTTTTTTTAAGAATTTGTAAAAATTGTAAATCTGCAAGGAAAACTAAAATCAAGTAAGAAACTGGCCTCTGAGCTAAGTTTTGATTTTCGCATTGAATCTGTAGGTAAGTCTGCTTTTTAAAAAAAATTTAATTGACATACAATATCCTATTTGTGGTATATTTCATAGTAATTTGATATTTTTAGATACTATGAAGTGATCCCCAGAATAAGTCTAGTTACCATCTGTCACCATACAAAGTTACTACAGTGATGTTGACTATTCCCCGTATTGTACATTATATCCTTGTGACTTACTTCTTTTATAGCTGGAAGTGTGTACCTCTTAATCCCCTTCACCTATTTTGCCTAAGCCTCTTTTTTTTAATAATGTGTATTTATAATACTTGATTTTTTTGTTCATTCCATATTTAGGGTTGTCTAGACCACCACTGTCTCGTAGAAGTTTTAGTGATATAGAAATGTTCTATGTACTCTTAAATCTAGTTGTCATTAACCCCACCTGTTAAGTACTTGAAACATGGCTAGTGCTACATTTTAATTTTTTAATTTTAATATAATTTTAGTGTTAATAGCTACATGTGACTAGTTGCTATATCATATTGGACAGCACAGGTCTAGACCTTAATAAATCTTCTGTTGTTTTCTGGGTATTTAAAACTTGAAATCATTTTTAAAATTTCTGTTCATTGTTCCCTTTGCTGCATGAAGTGAATTATGTACTTCTCCCAGTTTTTTTTTCCAAATCATGAAGGTATTTGTGTGATGTGATTAATGGTATTAGATATGCTATAATCCTTTGCCATGAAAAGTTCTGGTTGGTGTGTGTTGATGGTTATTGCTTCTCGGTCCATTTATATTTATAAATAACTATTTTTCCATAGGACTTGGAAATTAAGATGCCATTTCATTTGCTTCCTTGTCAATGAGTATTTTACTCTGTGCAAGACTCATTGGTTTTGTGATAAAAATGACTATATTCTATTATTGTTTACATTCTCACTGGTTATGTCAGTAAATATTTTCCCCGGGGATGATAGAACTTATGAAAAAAACACCATAGTTGGAAACATTTTAAAACAATTTATGATAGGACTGTACTACTATAAGTGAAAAATAGTTAAAACCAAGTTGACAGTTTTTATTTGGACCATAAAAAATACATGTATTTTATAATTAAATGTATATTCTTTTAAAAAGTTGTTTCTCATCATTTAGAAAGTTTCTGTTTTATCTATTAAATATTTTAATGGTTTCTCAACTGGAATTTTGCCCTTTCACAATGTACATTCATCCTTCTAGTAAACATTTTGCATAAAAGTAATTTGCTTGCAATTGAAAAATCTAATTTATTGAAGCAGGAAACCTGAACATTCTACAGATGATAGGACAAAAGGGATTTTGAAACTAGTTTCTTTTTTTACTCCTTTATGTGCTGGATGTTGCATACCCGTTTCTAAGATATAATATTTTCAATAGGAATTCTGACATATAGGTCTTTAGTTTATTTTCATTTTAACCGAAATATACTGGTACCTAAACTTTTTCATGGGTGCCTCATTTTTTTAAGGAATTTTAATTGTTAGACAAAAGTTTGTTCCTCTTAAGCTACCATCTCTCCTTGCTACTGAACTTTGAAATAATAACAAGGATCTTCCTGGGTTAAAAAAGAGTCCCTTTAAATTACTTTAAAAAAAATAAAAGTAAAGTAAAAAAAAGACCAGTAACTGGGTCTTTTTATTTGTCACAGTTAATGAAACATGTGATTTGTTACTGTAAAATACTTTTATTTTTATTGAGCTAACTTATATTCCCCAAACATTCTTACATTAACTTTTTATAGAGTCCATATTCTAGTAAGAAACAAAATGGCTTCAGTCACTTTCAGCATAGAGCATATGGCTTACTCTCCAAAAATCAAATGGGTTCTCTCCGTCGTTCTCTCCTCCCTCCCTCACTGTCTGCACTTTAATGACTACAGTATCTGGCCAGGAAGGGCCTAGAAACCCTACTCTCCTCCCTCACAATTGTGGGGCCTGCCTACTCTGTTTCTGAACCTCTAAGTTACCCATAATGGTGCCTCAGTGGGTCTAGGCCTATTGCTTGAAACCAAGCAGAACATAGAGATGGACAAGGCACAGCAGGAACAGGTTTCCTTCCAAGACCTTCAGGCCACACCAGGGGAGCATGGGAGATGGGTAGGGAGCAGGAGGGATTGTAGCATGTCTTGTGGTGGCCACACTTTGAGGTCATGGTTACTTCTGAATCCAAAGTCATTGGGAAGGTGGGCAGGCTTAACTGTGAACCATCATGGGGGCAGTGGAGCCTGCAAGTCCAGGGCAAAGTCCCAGGGGGCTCCAGAGGCCTGAGGAGATGGGGGAGGGGGAGCCCACAGGGCTGAAGCCTGCAGCAGTGAGTATTATAACTGGAAGCCCCTCTGATAAGAAGTGGTTCACAGATCATAAGTATTCAGTGTGTGGTTAGATTTCGGATTGTAAGATAATTTAGGTTTTAAAATAAATTTTCTGGTAGGGAAATATAAATAAAAGACACTTCCTTAACAGCTACTCATAAATATATGACAATATTTAAATAACCATGTTTTTGATCCAAAAAAACAATTATGTGTGTTTTATTTATTTTATTTACCTAAGGCAAAAGATAGTATATGAAAGAGAAGTTAATATGTTGATATCCAGCTCAGCAGAAGTTAGTCCCTGTTTAAATGAATGCCTGTTATATATATCTTTGAAAACTTGCATGACCCTGCCTCAATAAATTATTTGAGCTTAGGCATGGCTAAGCTTAGCCACAAAAATGTTGGGAACTGATGGTCTAGACAGTGGAATTTTGTGCCAAGCACTTGGAGAGCTTTACATTAGTATTTATTAAAAACAGTGAAGGAAAATGTATAAAGAATTACTCTGTGCTTTATTTTAGTTTCTGTTCTCTCTAATCTTTTTTTAGTATGCCTTCAAGATAGTGTTTTGGCTTTCTGGAAACATGGAATGCAGGGTAAAAGCTTCAAATCAGATGAGGTAAGGCTTCTCACATTACCTCCCATGATTCCCACAAAAGATTTTAAATGCTGAAACATTCAATTTATGCATTTTCTTTCTGAACCCACATTACTTTGTTTAGTGCCTTTAGTGCTATGAACTGATAGAGCAAAATTGCCAGTATTTTCCCTTCAGATAATGTTTTGTATTCATTGTATGATTCTCAGTGACCACAAGGAATTGTCAAACATGAGTTTGCACAATTTCAGTTCTCTAATTTGTAAATGTGGTTGCCAAGGTTACTAAACTTTTCTAAATTTAATAAGTCTTTTCCATAACCTATAAATGTATACTTTTTTAATATTTAAAATTCTAAAAGAATATATATTAGATCACAGGATTAAGGAAAATCTAAGAAAATTAACTCATTTAGTAAATAATTATTGAGTACCAACGACATGCAAGATACTGTTTTTATAGCACTATAAGGCATAATGAAGTATAATTATAAATAATATCAAATCTTTAGCATATCTATGTTCTAGGCACTTTACAAATATTAGCTTACTTGAAGTTAATAATCCAGTATGGTTAGGTACTATTATATTCCCATTTCTTACAGGTACAGAGTGGTTAAGTATCTTGGCCAGAGTTAAATGGCTAGTTAAATGGCAGGGTCTGGATGAAGGGTCTTCAAAAATCACTTCTAGCTGAGATAATCAGGCTACATTTCACGTAGGAGAGGGACTTGGAATCCCACCTTGATCAGATGCATCCTAATAGTTAAGATGATACTAACGTAGACATTTCCTATTCATGCAAATACCTGTGTAATTCTTTTATACCATCATCTCATACATTTGTGGACTTATTTTAAAGACTTATTCAAGTTTTCTATTTGAATTATCTTTAGTTTTTTCCATGTTCTTATTTTATATGTGACTGATTATTTATACCTCTTATATGAATATTGAATTAGAATGCTTCCAAGAGAAAATGATATAAATCAGCTGTCTTTGGATATGTCAGTTTATCTAGTTACTCATGTCACTAAATGTCACCAGGTCCCTGCATTAATATAACCTATAGTCCTACTTACTGCCATAAAATTAATTGTCCTTAGATCCTATTTTCAGCGTGTCATTCCTGTGATTAGAAATCTATAGAAAATACTTGTGTTCAATACCTCACATGCAAATTCTGTTTCCTATTTTTAACTAATCTTGCTTACCTCTTTCTGTGTTCTCATCTTTCATTTTTGGCCTTGCTGTGATATTCATAAAGTAATATTCAACCATTCAACCACAATGATTGGAACATTTCTCAACTTAGTACTCTGAAAGTCAGCTCCATGTAGTATAGCACATAATTAATTTCCTACTTCAAGTTTATCTGTCTTCTCAGCTAGACTGCAAATTCATTGAAAACAGGCTATTTTCATACTTATTTTATAGACACACTGCTGTAGTTTGGATTCCTCCAAAAGTTGACCCAAAGACAAGGAATCAAGTGCAGGCAGTTCATTGGGAGTAGATCCCAGAAAACAAGTAATGGAGTGAGGAATATAAGATAGAGAGGGACAAAAAACCAGTAAAGAGCATATTAATAAACAGGTTCCTACGGTGGGCACCAGGGCTTAACCCTAAAGGAACAACTGAGGAAGGAGATAGAGCACACTTCAAAGTAGACTCATTTGATGGCGGGGAAGCTGGTGCAATTATACACCAACTGATGTCTCTTTTGATTAAGCATTATTCCCAGGGATATAAATTCCCCACACTGTGGAATAGTACCTGTGCATGAGTTTATGTACCTTCTATAGCTTTGGAGAAAACAGCCGAGGAACAGCACAGATACACTGATGTAAGACCCTGGCACATGGGAGTGCCCAGCACAGCTTTATGGAATTCAGGTGGGCTCTGGATTGTTACCTCAAGCATCTGCACTGATGCAAAGGGAAGAGTAGGGGCTCTACAGTTTAGCAAGACTCTATTCAAATCCTGGGTCTACCAGTGATAGAATCTTAAGCAAGTTATTCAACTTCTCTGAGCTTTAGTGTTATTCAATAATATGGGAATTATATATCACAAAGAGTTCTTCTAAGGAAAGTACTTGACCCATACCAGATGTTCCATAAATGTTGATTTATTTCTTCTAGTAAGGCAGTCAAAAAAAATCTTACCAAAATTCATTTCATTTCAGGAATTGAGCCCATCAAAAATTATCCTTGTGTTTAATAATTGCTCTGTCTAAATGGTTTTTAAATTATGATTGGGGACAAAGGTATGACTACAAGTATTTTCTTTCATAGGTTACCCAGGAGATCTCAGATGAAACAAGAGTGTTCCGCTTATTGGGATCAGACAGGTAAGAGTTTGGTTGTTTTAATTTCATTACCAAAGGAGTGCAGTAGTTGTGTTCTTAATTATATTATCGCCCTGTAACTGTTTCAAACAAAATTCTTAGAAGGCTCAGCAACTTAAAGAAATCTCCGTGTAGTCTTTTCACCAGCATGAGGATCATGACTCTAGAGATCTAGTCAACCAAAACAAAATGTGTTAATACAAGTGTTTATATCCCTAGTACCATGACATATTTCAAGTCTCTTCTTTTTCATCATTTGTTTCTAGTTTGTTACCTTCTATTAACTATCACTACATAAACCCAAAAGAATATGCACCTCCTGACATTTGCTTTTATATAAGAAAACCTTTGACTCCATTTCTGAAGTCTAAATTAGGAATTTTGTGATCTCTGTGATCAAAGACACAGAGACAAATTTGAAAGACAAATTCCTAAACTGTGCCATCTTAGGAAAAAAATTTACTAGCCTTTGTTCTCCAAAGTCTGTATTGTCTACCTCTACAACTAATAAAATACCCCCCTTCCTATTTTCCCACCAAAAGTTGTTACTGCAGCAGAATTATAGTAAGCATCAGTTGTGAGGCAAGGACAGAGAACCTCTGGTCTTCAGTTCAGGCTGGTCACAGAATCAGTGTTTGGATGGGTATCTCTTAGAATCCTGTTTTATTCTCTAAGCTCTTATTTCACCCTCTTCTTGCTAGTGTATATCATTGATATACCTTGAACAGCACAGGTTTGAACTGCAGAGGTCCACTTAAATGCAGATTTTTTTTTCAATAAATACCATACAGTACTGTAAATGTATGTATTTTCTCTTACGATTTTCTTAACTTTTTTCTCCAACTTGCTTTACTGTAAGAAAACAGTATATAAGTGCATAAAACATACAAAATATGTGTTAATCAACTGTTGATGTTATCTGTAAGGCTTCCAGTCAACAATGGGCTATCAATAGTTAAATCTGGGGGGAGGTAAAAGTTAGACATGGATTTTCAACTCTGGGGGGGTGGGGAGGTCAGCACCCCTAACCCTCATGATCTAGAGCCAGTTGTATTCTAAAGCTTTCTTTATACCATTTGTTGGCATATATAAGTAAACTTTGGTTTTAGTTGGAGTAGATAATGAGACTATCCTGAAATGTTTTCAGTATTGTATATTCATAAATTCATCAGTTCTTATTGTTTTGTTTTTAAGCTATAAAGTGGAAAGCTAAATTTAACAGTGCACTTGTGATCTTTATGAGAATATGAACAATGATACTCTTTCCTGGTTTGATATTAGTATTTGAATGAAGCATACAATCTCTGTTTTTACCCTTAAACAAGCCTTTTGTTTTGATTTAATTGCAGGGTTGTCGTTTTGGAAAGTAGGCCAACAGAAAATCCTACTGCACACAGCAATCTTTACATCTTGGCTGGACATGAAAATAGTTACTAAACAACAAAAACTGATCTCAAATACAGGAAAATGACTATACTCCATTGAAAGCAAAAACATCTTAAGTTCAGTACAAACTACACTATGATTTACTTTAACTTTTATGAGTCATATCTCAAATGATCTGTACTTTAAGGTAGATTCAGTATTTTCTGTAGCTGGAAACAGCTATTCTATCTCTTGCCACTGTGTGGTGGTTATATCAAGTTTGCTTAATAAAAGCTATGAGACAAATAGTCCTCTAGTTCCAGGAAACACAGTCTTTTAAAAAAATAATGTTTGTAATAAGGGTGCCATGATATTTTTAGATAACTCATGATTATCTTCAGAGAGATAAATTTAGTGACAGTTTTCTTATTTTATACCATGTTTTATTCCTTCTTAATGAACATAATTTGATAAAGAAATTATCAGATAAGCCTTTCGCTTTTATATTGGCCATTCTGTATGTTTTTGTAAAATAGAATATTTAATCCTTATTTATTAATCTCTTGCTGGAGTGGTGTAATGTATGTAACTTTTAGCAGAGGAAGGTTTCAGAGCAGCTTAAATTTTTTTATAATGTATAAAAATTTTGTTTACGTTTTAAGAGTAGTACTTTAAGAGGTTAGAGGCAGTATGTCTGGGTTCAGGACATACATGCAGTTTTGCTTAACACAAATATTTTATAATACAGTATCACCCAGAATTGCCTTAAAAGGGAGTTTTGTGTTTTCAATTATAATAGTTGTAGGGGATCATACAGAAGATATTGATAATGGAAATATTGTTAGGGGGTATGTATGTCTAGATATGACTACCATGTGTATGTATTCTTGACAAGCAGTATAATATACCTGTGATTTTTTTTTTACATTAGGGATCATGCATAATAAATTAATATTCACATATATTATCATCCCTAATGTAGGGTGGGATGTATTTAACTGCCCGTGATATGTATTTTACTTCTACTATACCAGAGGGGAAACTGTAAAGCAGCTACATGTGTAATCTTGGTTTTTTCACATATGTAGGTATTTGTTTTCAGTAGGTTTAAGAAAAAAAATCTTTAAATGAAATTGAATTCCTGATGAGATAGTATAAATAAGTATTATAAAAACCAGTATTCTAAAAATAAAAAAGGATAGGGCCATTTTTGATTTTGGTTCTCTTTTGCTATTGTTAGTATTCAAAATTAAAATGTCACATTGGTACCTGTTGTCTTAATGTATTTACTGAGAACAGTTAGCATGGAGATGATGAACAAGGAGTTAGCAATAACAAAGTATAAATTCTTTTCAGCAGTTACTTGAGAGGAAAACAATGTAACGATCTCATTCAGTCTTTAGCAATTCTGTAAAATAGGTAGTATTATCATCTCCATTTTGCAGATGAAGAAATAAGGTTTTAGCTAGGTTAAGAGATTTATCCCATTCACACAGCAAGTTGGTGGTTGAGCCAGACCATGAGTCTTGTGACTCTGTTCTTTTCACTCTGCAATATGCAAACAATAAAATGTTATGCAAATAAAATATAAAGTAAATTTTCTGTAAAAATGCACATTTGATATGATTTCAGTAAGTGTGTGCTTGTTTACTTTGGGCATGGTAAAGGGGGCCTCTGAATTGAAAGACACGAGATGGCAGGGGACCATACTCAAAATGAAATATTTACATACTAGATACAAAGACCAATGTCCTCCTTCTCTCCAGGAATCCTGGCAGCCAGACTTTTCCATCACAACAATATTCGAAGTCTTCTCTGTGCAGTCTAGCCAGTTCAAGTGACATGAAAATCATAGTTAATGTGCCCACCACTCCATCCAGAGCTCATAGTTTTATGGTCCTGTGCTATTAATAATGATAAAACAACCAAGACTTATAAAATATCTGAGGAAAACCTGTCACATACAAGGAAGAAACAGTTTGGGGGGATAAAAGCTCTTAGAGGCAACAGACTATCCAGGACAATGTCAAAGAAAAAAATATATTCTGGAAGATGGTGCAACTATGAACCAAGAGTAGGATATGAAAAAAGGAGCTTATGAAAAATAAAAAGCCCTTAGAAAATAGTATGATAGCACAGCTGTATAAATGAATAGAAGGTTTAGAATATAAAGCTGAAGAAGTTTCTGTGATGAGCACTGGGTGTTATATACAAGTGATGAATCATTAAATTCTACTCCTGAAACCAGTATTACACTGTGTTAACTAACCAGAATTTCAATAAAAACTTGAAACATTAAAAAGTTGAAAAAGTTTCTCAGAAAATAAACAAAAGGAAATGGAAACATTAAGAAGATTAATAACGCAGGAGGCCCATTATCCAGTCTCTCCAAAAAGAAACAACAAAGAAAAAACAGTGGAGTATTTCAATAAATTTTTCCAGTACTAAAGAACTTCAGATTCTAGGTTGAAAAGATACAGCAGATTTTAAAAACCTATACCAAAGCACATCACTGTAAAGTTTCAGAGACACTGAGGTCAAAGAGAATATTTGCTGTGTTTCCAAAGAAAAATCTCAAGTTATATACCAAGGAATAAGAATCAGGATCAAATTTCAACAGAAGCAGTGCCTTCAGAATTCAGAAAGAAATTTCCAACCTAAAATTCTGGATCCGAATAAACTATTCATCAAACCTAATGGTTAAAAATGAAGATATTTTTAGTGGTACAGGTTGTAAAAGAAACTTTACCTCATATAGCCTTTCTCAGGAAGCTATAAGAGGATGTCGCTTCATAAAAATAAGGGCATGAATGAAGACATAAGATGCAGAAAATGGGATTCCACAGGAGGGAGATGAAGGAAATCCCTGGTTGATGGCAATGGGATGTAAGGATGACAGTGCACCAGGCATAGAGAACCTAACTGAAGCATATTAGTAGCTCCTGAAGAGAGGCACCTGAGTGGCTCAATAGTTAAATTTCTGCCTTTGGCTCAGATCAGGATCCCAGGGGCCCTGGGATGGAGCCCAGAGTCAGGCTCCCTGCTCAGTGAGGAGTCTGCTTCTCCTTCTCCCTCCACCCTTCCCCCTGCTGGTGTGCTCGCGCTCTCTCTCTCTCGCTCACTCTCTCTCAAATAAAATTTTTTTAAAAATAAAAGCTCCTGGAGAGACTGTTTCAGAAAGATTAAACATAAAATCCCTGATGCATCTCTCAGTACCTTAAGAGTTAAATAACTAGCAAAGAGTAAGAGGTTTCTCCTAAAACAAACTAAGAAAAGAACAAGGGTAAGATCATTTCCTTTAGAGACCCCAAAAAATAGGCATGAGGGACTTATCTCTTCCAATACTGAGATGGAGAAGTGGGAAAAGTTGATCTAGGGGTTCATTATTGAAGTCCTTGCCATGTAGACAATGGCAGCTTGATTCTAGCAGGTCTTCTAAGAAGCTGTGTGATAGTTCCCACAATTGCCTCCTGAAAGACCAGTGGTCGGAGCCTGTTATCTACGGATTTTCCCTCCTTATGATTAAGTTGCTGCCGGGGCATTACCTCCTGAAGTGTACCAGATTGCTTCAGGCACTTGTCCAAGTAGGCTCCTTAAGTGTCAGAGGAAGCCCTAGGGTAGAAAGCCGAAAGAATATGAGATAAATCTGAGCCCATTTAGATCTACTGCCTCAGTGGCAATCAGAGGCAGGGTGGAGGGGATGTTTCTCCAGATCCCAGGGTTCAATCAGAGATGGTATTGTTCCTTATCTAAATCTGAAAACAAACAAAAAACTGGCAGTTATTAACTCCAGGAAGGCAAAATGGTGTATAGAGAAGAAAAAGCCAACTGTGACGAGGGGCATAACCTTGTTAACAGTGAATATTAACCTAATAAAAATTGCAGCATAGTTGTAGTGGGAGAGGAGGACATGGTGTTGTGGAAGTAGGTAGAAAAATTAATCTAGATTGTCATTTTCCACAGTAGAAATTCAGTGGATAATACCTAAAAATTAAAAGTCAAGAAATAGCGTATTTAGTGACAGGGTAAGTAAAATAATCTGCTAAAAGAAGGAAAAGTTGTTTTTGAGGTGAGGGGTGGGAGGGGCATGCATTTTGGGTGACAAACCTTAAGGACTCTGGTTATGTGCATGCCTACATTTGGGGTTTTTTGATGTAAAAGTTTTAACTTTAAAAGCATGAACCGAAGGGGAGGAGGGCAGGGGGGGTGAATGGGTGACGGGCATTGAGGGGGGCACTTGACAGGATGAGCACTGGGTGTTATTCTGTATGTTGGCAAATTGAACACCAATAAAAAATAAATTTATTTTAAAAAAATAAAAGCTTGAACCACTGCTACATAACAAACAGTATGAATAAACAAACAGTTCAGCTATACTGTACCATACACATAGTAGGCATTCAATAAATATTAACTGATTATAGCTAATGTATACATAATGGAAGGAGGCATAGTAATTTGGGAAAGAAAAACTAGGATAACTACATCCACAAGGTCTTGTGAGAGAAAATATTTTCATCAAACTACTTTTTTCTTTTTGGCTAAGCCTCCTGTCTATCCTTTCCCACAATTCCACCAAACACCCTAGAACATAGAAGCCATGATTATTCCAGCTTTTGTGCTTGACTCATATGCTACCCCCTGCCCCAAAATTCTGGTTTGTCACGAAAAATGTAAACCTTTTACTTCACTCAATGCACTCAGTTCAAGCTAGAACTTTTACATGACAGCTCTCATTTGCTTAAGCCAGACTATTTTCTGGTTTTCAGAATTTCTACAGCACATAAAGATTATATATGTCCATGTAACACTCAGTCACCGGCTGAACCATAGCACTTAACACTCAGTTTACCACTACCTAGGCCTCCGTCTCCTTATCTGTTGATTGGAAATTATGGCCGCTTCACCCAGCTGTTAGGATTAAGTGAGATCATGTTCATAAAGTTCATAAAAAGAAGTTGGCTCCTTTATTTTTCACCAAGAATCTCACTTAAGGGCCTAAAGAGTGCATCTTTATTCTTTAATTGTATTTTCAGTATGTATAATCATACATTGGTAGACTTACCACGGGGCTTTTTAAATTCTGCTTTTTTTCAAGTTTCTTATATGCTGTTTCATTACAGAAATACCCAGTATCTTGTATTGAAAGTCCAAGAAACTCCCATACCAACCTTAGCAGGAGGAATCATGTTAGATTTTACTGAGAAATTTCAGACTGTTCCTAATAGATCTTAGGAGAAAGCAAGAAACATTTTTTTAAGATGGTTACGTTGACATCAAGAATGAGTCAAATATTCTCACTCTTACCACTTGTTATTCATTGTACTAGAGATTCTAGTCACTTCAATGAACCTAGTAAACTAAGAAATATAAAAAATAAAAGATTAAAAGGTTTGGAAAGAAATAAAAATACCATTTGGATATAAACTTAGAAATCATAAGTGAATCTGGAAAAACATCTGGGTGCACTCTCAACATGATATATACATATACTTGTAATAGAGAATGAAATTTTAGAAGGATTCCATTTACAATACAGAAATATAAAAAATGAAATGTAAGAACTGTATCTTAAAGTTCAATAAAACATCACTGAAATTAAAGAAGACCTAAATAAATGGCAGATGATGCCATGTTGACGAATTAGGTTAGATACTGTAAAGCTGCCAGTTGATTTAAAGATTGTATGATCCCAGCAGATACTTTTATGGAAATTGACAACTTGATTCTAAAATTACATAAAATGCAATGGGTCAGGAATACACAAGACAGTCTCAAAGAAGGAAAAACAAGCCTGGAAGTCTTAGGCTACCAGATTTCAAGAGATGATGAACTGCTCTAGCAGTTAAGATGGGGCAACATTGGCATGAAGAGAGACAATGAGTCCAGAAACAGACACACACTTACCTTGTTTTTGACAGATATATTGCCCTGGAGTGAAGCAAAGAATAGATTTTTCAATTAATTATATTGAAATTTTACTGAAAACAACAAAGTCAAGGAAATCTTGAATCTACCTTACACAATGAAAATACCAAATATTGTAAATAATTTAAGGTATATAAAACTATAATGCTTGTAAAATAAAACATACTATCTTCACAAACTGGGATAAGCAAAGATTTCCCAAACAGAACATTAAGACCTTGACCATAAAAGAGAAAGGTGACAAAATGGACTTAATTGGGACACCTGGGTTGCTCAGTGGTTATGTGTCTGCCTTTTGCTCAGGGCATGATCCTGGAGTCCCAGGATCAAGTCCCACATCAGACTCCCTTCAGGGAGCCTGCTTCTCCCTCTGCCTATATCTGCTTCTCTCTCTTTCTCTCTCTCTCTCTCTCTCTCTCTCTCTCATGAATAAATAAAATCTTTTTTAAAAATATGGACTTAATTAAGATACTCTTTTATCTAAGGACACCTTTACAAGAAGGAAAGGATGAGCCACAAAATGGAGGAGGGACTGGCTGGCTGAGTTGACAGAGTGTGCAACTCTTGATCTCAGGTTTGGAAATTCGAGCCCCACATTGGGTGTAGCAATTACTTAAAAACAAAACAAAAAAAAAAAGATCTTTAAAAACAAAAAGGGCAGACAACTCAATAGAAAAATGGGCAAA